TTCACTTTGGGTTTCTTTTTCTTCCAACTTTATTGAGATATAAAAGAAGTGAAATAAACTGCCTACATTAGGAGTGTACAGTTTGATTAATTTTGATATAACTTGTGAAACCATCACCACGTGAAATGACAGACATTTTTATCTCCCTAATAATTTCCTCACGTCTCTCTCTTTTTTTTTTAATCCTTACCAGAGGATATTTTTTAATTTTTTGTTCAGATAGAGTGGGAGGGAAAGAGAGGAAGAGAGAGAGAGAAACATCGACGCGAAAGGGACACATCGAGTGGCTGCCACCCACACAACCCAACCAGGGCTCGGGACAAACTGCAAACGAAGTACATGCCCTTAGCGGGAACCGAACCTGGGTCTCTCTGAACTGCAGGCTGAAGCTCTAACCGCTGAGCCAAAACGGCCAGGGCCCCTCACGTCTCTTTTTAATCCCTTCCTTTTTCCATTTGTGTCTCCAAGTAACCACTGATCTGCTTTCACTCATTGTAGATTAGTTGGCATTTTCTAGACACTTATAAAAATGGACTAACAGAGCATATAGTATTTTTTGTCTGCTTCATTCACTCAGCATAAAGATTTTGAGAGTCATCCAAAATCTCAGTATGTTGTGGTTTCAGTTGTTTGTTCCTTGTTATTACTGAGTAGTATTCCACATATTAATATAATACACCTGTTTTTTCATTTACTTGTTGATGGACATTCGTGTTCTTTCCAGTTTTTGGCTATTACTAATAAAATTACTATGCTCACTTGTGTAGTCATGTGTTTTTATTTCTCCTGAGTAAATATTTGGGAGTGACGGTTTAATATTAAGTAATTATGAAACTTTTCCAAAGTGGATGTACCATTTTATAATCCCTTCAGCAGTGTACATAAGAGTTCAGTGGCTGCACAGCCTCACTAACACTTGGTGTGGTCAAGTTGTTTTTTTTTGTTTATAATGTTAGCCATTCTAATGGATGTGGGGTGCATTGTAGCTTCTTTATTTTACATTCCTTTGGTGACAATAGTTAATGTGTTATTGACCATTTGTATATCTTCTTTTGTGAAGTGTCTGTTCACATCTTGTCATTTTAAAATTGTGTTGTTGCCTTGGCCAGTTTTGCTCAGTGGTTAGAGCGTTGGCCCAGACCAATGAATCTGGTTCGATTTTGGTCAAGGGCACGTACCTCGGTTGTGGTTCAATCCCTGGCCCTGCTCAGCTTACTCAGCTTATACAGGAGGCAACCAATCAATGTGTCTCTGTCATATCATTGTCTGTCTCTGTCTCTCTCTGTCTCTGTCTCTCTCTCTCTCTCCTTCTCTCTCCCATTCTGTCTGAAAATAAATGGAAAAAATATCTTTGGGTGAGGATTTAAAAAACAAAAACAAAAATCTTTTATGTAAAGTAGATGCAGAAAAAATAGATGGAAACTCAAAGACAATTTAATTAACCAAGAGTCATAGTAGGAGATTCAAGATACCTTTCTCAGCTTTTGCAAGATTAAATAGAGGATAGAAGTGACAAAATTAATCTTCTCAGTATGCTTCATTTAATGGTTAATCAAATACAGATAAGTCTGTCTAATAAAACATTTATTTAAAATAAGATCAAAACAACAAAAAACCCTTGGCCACAGGTAATTGCAATTTCTCCAAAATGTGAGTATATGCATGTTGGACTACAGTGAAGTCAGAAGTTTGGTGTGTTCTTTTTCTTATCCTCGCAGTCACAGTTTTTAACCAGCGTGTTGCTGGACCCTCTGAGGGGGTCCTGCCTCTAGCAACAGGTATGCCATGCAGGTCATGGAGGTCAGCTGGCTTCACTGCTTAGTTGACTCCTTTGAAAAGTAACTCATGGTTTATGGGGTCATCTGACTTTTACAGCCATTTGCTTTAAGTACACTGGAAGGTAGACTATGATTTGCCTACGGGTTCACAGTTGGAAGCACACACCCTCCTTCTGGTTCATTATTCTCTGCCTACCTTATACTGCTGGCTGATTAGTCTGAATCTCAGAATGGATTTATTCTCTGTATATTTTGCAGATTAAGGAAAGAGTCAAGGCAGGAGTGGAAAAGCTTGGAGATCACTTGAGCCTTATTTTATTTGAAATTTTGGGGCTTCCAGGAAATTCCTGCTGGTGGTAGTTTTTAAGAAAATATTTAGGTTTTGATTTTTCAGTTGTACAAGTCAAATTTATTAGGTTGGACAATTGAGGGAGGGTTATTAAAGGAAACTAGCCAAATTTAAAACAGGATTAAAGAACTACCAACAGAGAAGATGTTTGAAGGTGGTGATGTTGGTATTCTGTCATTGTTAGGAATAAGCTATCTTTCCAAGATAAGGCTTCATGAGAGGCATAGTATACACAGTTTTGGCATTTTGGGTGACTCTGGACAAATCACACGACTTAAGTATATATATTTTTTTTTTTTGGTTAATCCTCAGCCGAAGATATTTTTCATTGGTTTTTAGATAGAGTGGAAGGGGCGGGGAGAGAGAGAGAGAAATGTGAGAGAGACATTAATTGGTTGCCTCCCACATGACCCCAACTGGGGCTGGGGAATCAGTATATGCCTTTGGAATTGAACCCAAGACCCTTTGCTCTGAGGGCTGATGCTCTAACTGCTGAGCAAAACTGGCCAGGGCGGTATGTGTGTGTGTATTTTTATTTTTTATTTTTTTTATAAGAGACCACTGAGGTATTAAAACCCAATTTATAAAGCTAGCTTAGAAATTCATTCTACTTCCAAAATTTACTCTATCCTTTAGGCAGATTAGTTGAAATGCTTTTTTAACTTGATTGTTTAATAACCAAGTCAGATTCTTGTCTGATGTTAAAATGTTTCTCTCAAAACATTTCAAAACTTCTGTTACTAATTGCCAGGTAAGAGAGAAAAGAAAAAATAAGCCTTAACATAATCACTATTAGTGTTTTGATGTATTTTCTTTCACTTTTTTTTTTTTTTAATATCTGGCTGTTTTATCTCCCATTACAGTTGGAAGAGAAGGGGTTAATAAGAGCTAATCAGTTGTTGCCTAATTACCAAGTTAATAAAATGTTACTGGTCCATTTTGCACCTTTCCTGGATAATCAAGAATTGAATATAGTTTCTTAAACCTTGGCAAGTCATCAGTATCACATGGAGGACCCTCGAAAACACAAATGGTGGGCCCGCCTCCAGAGTTTCTGATTCATTAGATTGGGGATGGCCTGAGGATAAGAATTTTTAACAAGTTCCCAGATGCTGCTGATTCTGCTAGCCTAGGGCCAGACTTTGAGACCCACTGATGTAGACCATGGTTTTAAGTGATCCTCTAACCATTGCTGTTAATCAGGAGTTAACTCTAGTTGATCAGTTTTGATATTTTATAATGCAGTTTTCATCCCAAGCATTTCCCCAAGTTGCTCTAGAGTCTTTAACTTAAAAATTATATAAGTAGCCCGGCCAGTGTGGCTCAGTGGTTGAGCATCGACCCATGCACCAAGAGGTCGTTGGTTCGATTCTTGGTTAGGGCACATGCCCAGCTTGTGGGCCCAATCCCCAATGGGGGGCATGCAGGAAGTGGCCAATCAGTGTTTTTATCTCCCTCTCCCTTCCTCTCTCAAATCAATAAAGAAAAAAATATATTTTTAATTATATAAGTAAAACATGTTTGTTAAATAAAAGTCAGGGAGAAATAAACTAAAATAAAAATTAATTGAATCCACCAGAGTTGGTATTTTAGTGTATATCCTTCTAATCTCTCAATAGACAGATGGCAGATAAACAGTCAATCTGCCGAAGGCCATACCACCCTGAGTGTCCTTGATTCTGGAATTCTAAACAGGGTCAGACCTGGCTAGTACTTGTTTGGGAAACAGACACAAAACTGTATGTGTGTAGGGTATGTGTATGTTTGTGTGTCCGCAGGCCAACGCTCTAATCACTGAGCCAAACCAACTAGGGCAACGCAGTCTTGTTTTAATAATTAAAAAACCGGAACAAAAATCTTAGAGTTCAACAATGGAGAACAAATTAATTACAGTATATTCACACACTGGAAAATTTGCATCAATTAGAATTTAGATCTATGTTAAGCATAAAAAGATACTATATAGTTGGTTTAAAAGGTAGACTAAAAATACATCTATCATATATCTATTTTGTTAGATATATTTGCATGTGTATATATATATGCATATATGAGTTGTATGTTTCTCTCTCTTCCACCCTCTCCCTCCTGCTCTATCTGAAGATAAATGCAAAAATGTCCTCGGGTGAGGAAAATAAATAAATAAATAAATAAATTTTATTGATTTTTTTTTTTTTTTTTTTTAGAGAGGAAGGGAGAGAGAGAGAGAAATATTAGTGAGAGAGACACATCGATTGGCTGCCTCCTGCACATACCCAATGGGGACTGAGCCCAAAACCCAGGCCTGTTCCCTGACCGGGAATCTCTTGGTTCATGGATTGACGCTCAACCACTGAGCCACACCAGCTGGGCTGTTATTTTCTTAATCTACACATGTAGTTGCTGTGTAAAAGTTTTGAACTTTAAAGATCTTTCATAGTCTGAGAGACAAAGAATATATTCTAGTTTAAATTTGTACTTAATTATTGATAAGATTTATTGGCCACTTTTATTTATCTCTGTGAATTACATATTTATAATATCTATCGCCTGTTTTTCCATTGTCTGTCCATCTTTACATTTTTATATAGTATCTTTTTATCAGAAGGTAAACTCTCACGTTTAAAATATCTTCCCTCGGGTGTTTTTTGTTTTGGACTACATTTTTAGTAGATTCATTTCTCCCACCCACCACCTTTTGCAAAACTTTAATACTTTTCTGGAGTTAGATACTCACAGAATACTTAATCACCATTTTTAACTTCTGTGTGATATTTGTTTGAGTTGGATGTGCCAGAATATATGTTATTATTAGCCTCACATTTTAGGGGTTCTCAAGAAGGTGTGTCATCAGTGCTTTGTTTTCAATTTCTCTACTTTCTTTCTTTAACCAGATGCTAACCCTGAGGTGACAATGACAATGCTTCGCTGGATCTATACGGATGAGTTGGAGTTCAGAGAAGATGATGTGTTCCTGACCGAGTTGATGAAACTAGCTAATCGGTTTCAGCTACAGCTCCTTAGGGAGAGGCAAGTCACAGCAGATATATTCAAGCACCTCAGATGGTGGTGGCTGAGCTTTAATTATGCCAAGCTCTGGGAAAACAGCTTCTCCTGCTAATGTAAATAACTTTTGCAAGGTGTTCTTTTAAAGGCTATAGGGGGGAGAGAATTTTATCTCCCTTGTTTTGTGTTACTTTGTAAGCTAAATTTTGCTAAAGCTTTTAGGTATTCTTTTTTCTTTCACTGGTTTATTTCCCAAGATTACATAATTGTGTGAATTGATAAACTGAATATGAAGTAACATAATCCAGTGTTCAAACCCTCAGCTTTCCCTCTTATAATGTTTCCTTTGACATTTTATTCCACTTTCTGATCTACTATAATGAAGTCCTTGGTCATATTCTTTTTGTTGGAAACACATTAATGTCTAAGTTATCATAGAAGAGGATGGCTCAGTAAGTTTATGAGATCTTACTTCATTTGTTACCACTTTTTATGTTCCCAAGGAGATAGTCAGCTACGTTTTTCATGTTGCATTTTCTCTGTTGCTCTCCCAAGTTGGCCTTTTAGAACAATGGAAAACAAAACATTCACCAAATGTCAGGCAAAATGCCCTTTAGTTTCTGTTGGAGATGTGACCCTTGGTAGTCATGTTGGCTGATGGAGTGCCTTTTTACATCATTTTGTGAACTTTTGTATTCTCCTGGGTATATAAAGAAATGGTTCTTCACCTGAGTAGGTGGTGGGATAGTCTCAGCCATCAAGAGGCACTCCACCCATTGTTGTGTTTCCCTTCAAGAGACCTTGCTACCTAGAGCTACTTGCTCTGTTTTCTCTGTGGGGATGATGTTTCCCATGGGGTGGTCCATTGTGTCCCACATGAGTCAGCACACAGGTTACTCCTGTTTATGATTGATGTGGGCTTGAGTGTATTTGAATACCTCAATTCAGTAACTAAGAAAAAACCCAAACAAGTCTAAGATTTGTAAGCACATTAGGTTACCAAAGTTAACTTTACTGTCAGGGCCTTACAATTTACTCTTTCATTTGTTGTTTATGTGAGTTTTTTAACCATCTGAGAGTGAAATGAGAGTGATTTTATTTATTTATTTTTTGTTTTTTTTTGTTTGTTTTTTTATCCTCACCCAAGGACATTTTTCCATTTTTTGTTCAGATAGAGTGGGAGGGAGGGAGAGAGAGAGGGAGAGAAACAGAAACATCGACGTGAAAGGGACACATCGAGTGGCTGCCACCTGCGTGACCCAACCAGGGTCAGGGACAAACTGCAACCGAGGCACATGCCCTTAGCGGGAACTGAACCCGGATCTCTCTGGACCGCAGGCCGACGCTCTAACTGCTGATTGAATGTTATTGAATGTGATTTATATCTTTTTTGGTTGTTGTTGTTGTTTTCGTTTTTTGTTTTTTTCAGATTTTTCTGAGCTTTTTCTCCCACTGATCTTGTCAAACTTGTTTATAAATTGTTCTGGAGTTGGAGTAGTTTCGATAATTGTAATCTGTGTAATGGATTCTTTAATTAAAATGCTTGTTTATTGATTGATTAGGCTTCATAACTATCAACATTACCAGGCTCAATTTTGTATTGTTGGATGCGGGCATTAAGTTGTCTGTCAGGGCTCTGTTGAGGGCTGGAATGGAAGAGACCCAGGAATGGACGTGCTTTTTAAAAATCTCAGAGCGCCCCCTGCTGTCTGCAAGAGGAATTGCATATTTGAGATAGTGCAAGGGCTCTGACACGTGTGCAGTTAAATACAAGTGGGAGTTGCTCATTTTTGTCACGTAGTGATCTTGGTGGTTTGGGAATGCTATCACCAATTTTATGAAAAGGAAGTTATTTTGGTATTATTAGGGAAATACTCTAAAAAAAGAATTAATAGTATATGCTAAAAATTGACAAATATATTTTTCCCCCTTTATACAATACATGTTCTCTATATGGTATGTGGAAAATATGAAATGACATAAAGTGCCCGCCGGTGTGGCTCAGTGGCTGAGCGTTGACCCGTGCACCAAGAGGTCACCGGTTTGATTCCTGGTTAAGGCACATGCCCAGGTTGTGGGCCCAATCCCCAGTGGGGGTCATGCAGGAGGCGGCCAATCAGTGTCCTCTCTCATTGATGTTTCTGTCTCTTTGCTTCTCTCTTTCTCTCTCTCTAAAATCAATAAAGGAAAAAAAAATTTTAATAAAAAAAATAAATAAAATGGCCCTGGCCAGTTTGGCTCAGCGGTTAGAGTGTCGGCCTGCGGTCCAGGAGAGACCTGGGTTTGGTTCCCGCTAAGGGCACGTGCCTCGGTTGTAGTTTGTCCCTGGCCCTGGTTGGTCGTGCAGGTGGCAACCACTCGTTGTGTCCCTTTCACATCCTCTTCCTCTCTCTCCCTCCCACTCTATCTGAACAAAAAAATGGAAACATATCCTCAGGTGAGGATAAAGTAAATAAAAATAAAATAAAATAAATAAATAAAATGACATAAAGAAGAAGAAAGCCAACTCATCTGTAATTAGATCACTGTTAGCCATTTGTTGTTTATTTTTTCAGGTTTTTTTTGTGTCTCATTTATACACATGGGATTGATAACCAAAAACTAAACAGGAGTTTATGGGACACAAATATATGCTTGATTTTGTATTTTAAAAATCAGGTTTATTGCCCTGGCCAGTTTGGCTCAGTGGTTAGAGTGTGGGCCTGCAGACCAGGAAGTCCTTGGTTCATTTCCCCGCTAAGGGCACGTATCTCAGTTGCAGTTCGTCCCCGGCCCCAGTTGGGGTTGTGCGGGTGGCAACCACTCAATGTGTCTTTCTTACGTCAACGTTTCTCTCTCTCTCTCTCTCTCTCTCTCTCTCTCTCTCTCTCTCTCTCTCTCTCTCTCTCTCCCTGTCTCCCTCCTGCTCTATCTGAAAATAAATGCAAAAATGTCCTCCGGTGCCCTGGCCGGTTTGGTTCAGCGGTTAGAGCGTCGGCCTGCGGTCCTGAGAGACCCGGGTTCGGTTCCCGCTAAGGGCATGTACCTTGGTTGCAGTTTGTCCCTGGCCCTGGTCGGTTGTGCGGGTGGCAGCCACCCGATGTGTCCCTTTCACGTTGATGTTTCTCTCTCTCTCTCTCTGTTTTCTCTCTCCCTCCCACTCTACCTGAACAAAAAATGGAAAAAAAATGTCCTCGGGTGAGGATTAAAAAAAAAAAAAAAATGTCCTCCGGTGAAGATTAAAAAAAAATTAGGTTTATTGTTTTTGTGCATTTGTATGCTTTTTGTACTCTAAAATTAAGAATGTATTAACAACAACAAAATCCCTTCAGAAAAGTTTTTCTACTTTTCAAAGAGAAGACATGAACTGAGAATCTGAATTTTAAAATTACATATTCTTTAATTGTATAAACCGTGTCAGTTACTATTTATAGCCTATCCAAATAGTGAATGGCACTCTGGGGATCCCAGAGTTTAGTGAAAATGAAGTGTCTGCCAGTTGTAACCACACATCTGTCCTCATGAAGTATAGTTGACTATCTTGGTGCAATGTTATTTGGCACTAGAAAGGAAGAGAATGGAATTTTCAGACTCTAAGCTTTGTCTGTAAACATGCTTTATGAAGTGCTCTGCAAAGGTGAGTCAGTACTCCCTGAAATTATACCTGACATGAGGATACTGGGATGGCAAGATGCAGATTATTTTAAAAGTGGTAAATGTTTTATATATTTTATCTGAAAAGAAGACTTTTCTCCTGGAATGCTCTGATTTCATAGCCGAAGTCAGAATGACTACTTCACATTGCTGAGGCATGGTAGGAGTTTGCGGAAAGAAACGAGGGGTTCAGACAGGCAGGCAGAAGAAGCTAAAAAATGTAACATTGTTACTCATTATTACAGTAATTTATTTAGATATTGTAATAATTTGTTTAAAAGTGCCCTGGAGAGATGTTTCTTTACACTAAGGCAGCTATGTTACTTAAAAACAGAGTATTTTCCCTGGCCAGGTAGCTTAGTTGGTTAGAAAGTCATCCTGATACAATTGCAGGTTTGATCCCAGGTCAGGACACATACAAGAAGCAACCAGTGAATGCATAAATAAGTGGAACAAATCAGTGTTTCTCTCTCTCTCTCTCTCTCTCTCTCTCTGTTTCCCCCCCCCCACCTCTGTCCCCCTTCCCCTCTCTCTGTAAAACAATAAATAAAAATTTTCAAAAGTATTTAAGCATCGGTCTTGGAATGAATTAGGTGCCTGCCTGCTTTTATTGCTAGATGGAGAAATGACTCCACGATTATTCTTGCTTCTAGCCTAAGGTCTAATTCGTGAGGTTTTGAAAGTGTGTTCCTCCTTTCCAGGTCTTTCTCATGACTCTTCCTTTCTTCCACCATCTCAGTCCCATGGTATTTCTCCACTCCTGTTAACTAAACTTCACCTGTTAAAATAGGGAATTACGTGCTAGCCAATCAGCTATTCTTTTTTTTTTATCCTCGCTCGAGGACATTTTTTTTTGCATTTATCTTCAGATAGAGCGGGAGGGAGAGAGGAAGAGAGAGAGGGAGAGAGAAACATCGATGTGAGAGAGACACATTGACTGGTTGCCACCGACACGACCCCAAACGGGCCCGGGGACAAACTGCAACTGAGGTATGTGCCCTTAGTGGGAACTGAAACCCGGACTCTGGTCTCCAGGCTGATGCTCTAACTGCTGAGCCAAACCGGCTGGGGCTTATTTATAAAAATGCTGAACCCCATTCATATTAGTTATTAAATAATGCAACTTCCTTGAGAAGGCCCCTATACCTATTATGTACCTTATACAGTACAAAGTTTGTATAGTTTTCTTTTATTTTGAAAAACACAGAGAGATCCTCTAAACCTTTAATATAGAGTATTTTCCTTATTTTGCAGAGGAGGAGATAGGGTCACAGAGGGCTTATGTAATTTGGCCTCTAAAGTTTAGTGGATCTTAACTCGGCTTTTTTTTACCTCACAGTTCATTTTGTTCTCAATGTGTCCTTGTGATCAGAAAAGGTTTTTTCTGGGGGTTGTGGGACAGAGAAAGCAACGATGAGTGTCAGGGAATACCCCTAACACTGTATTAGGCCTCTCTGCTATCCTTGGAAGTGAACCTGATGTAGAGGGAAATATACAGGCAAGGGAGATGGAAGGATCGCGCCACCAGCCTCCTTCCCCCTGGCCCCCAGGCTTAGTTCTAGAGGCTCACTAAGATTTCCAGGAATTCTGTGGCATCGGAAGCCTGGGTCTTCCCTGCACTGCATCTTCTAGGCCAGGGTATGTGCGCCTGTTTTGTGCTACCAGAGGCCTGCTTTCCTGTGTGTGCCCCCTCTCTTCTCTGATGTAGTTGTTCTCATATTAGTGATTGTTGTTGTTACCAGGCTTTATGGGACATCCATTGTAGCCAGCTTTTCACTGTCTTGGTTTACTATGCTTTGTACTAACTCAGTTGTTATATATACATGATAAATTTTTTAAGTGGGCTTTTTAAAAACAGCTTTATTGAGTTATAATTCACATAATAAATAGTTCACCTTTTGGGAGGACTTTTAAGGGTCTTAAAATATGAAGGCATAAGCCTCATATTTGAAGCTATTTCTAAGCCATATTGATTGCCTAATAGAGATGTGCTCGTGGAAACTGCAGTTGTGTCCCTTATGTTTCATGTGATTACTTCTGAGGCAGTTGGGAGATTATGCTTAACGTGTATTTATAGGTTATTTGGATTCTGACCGGAATGAACAATATAATTTCATACTAGTACTTTTACTAGTGTTAGCTCAGCTGTAATTTATTTATAACTACTTCATTTAACCTTACACTTTAGTGTTATTGGACATAGCCACCAGTACACAGGTTATTGCTTTTGTTTGTTAATTTACAAATATATTTGTTCTAATAATACTGTTCATCATTAATATTCTCTTGTAGATGTGAGAAGGGTGTTATGTCTCTGGTGAATGTCAGGAACTGTATTCGCTTCTATCAGACTGCAGAGGAACTAAATGCCAGCACACTGATGAACTACTGTGCAGAAATTATTGCAAGTCATTGGGTAAGTGAGAGATTGAAGGGTGTGGACAAAGCACCCTCGCTAAAAGTCAGAAGACCTGGGCGTGGGGCCTAGTTTCATGCAAGTTACCTCTCTGGAGCCTGGTTTCCTCTTATTACTAAACTGGAGGCTAAGTAGTTGCATCATATGCTCTATGAAATCTTTTTGGCTCTAAAAAGACTCATAGTTCTGATTTTGGAGTAAAGGGCAAGTAGCTCAGGTCAAGAAACAGGCTTGAAACAAAGGTACACCTGCCTTCAGTCTCCATTCACAGAAGCAGGTGCTGCGGTGGGGCCAGCAGGCCTGCCGTGCTTGGCATTGCCATTCAGGGCTTTCCCTTGTTTCTCCATCCTGTGGAGAGCACTGTTCACCTTAGAGTCTCCCTTCTTAGGCAGCTTTCATCATAAAGAACAGTTTTTATATTTCTTTATTATGTTGTCTGTTTTGCATTTTTAAAAAATCATGGCTAGGCCCTGGCCGGTTTGGCTCAGCGGTTGGAGCATCAGCCTGCGGTACAGAGAGACTCGGGTTCGGTTCCCGCTAAGGGCACGTACCTCGGTTGCAGTTTGTCCCCGGCCCTGGTTGGTTGTGTGGGTGGCAGCCACTCGATGTGTCCCTTCACGTCGATGTTTCTCTCTCTCTCTCTCTTCCTCTCTCTCCCTCCCACTCTATCTGAATAAAAAATGGAAAAATGTCCTCGGGTGAGGATAAAAAAAAAAAATCATGGCTAGTGCTGTGTTTTATAACTTAGTTTCTGCATATTGTTGGATATTTAACGACATTGTAAGCAAAAGTATCTAAAAGAATTAGGTTTTAGAGAATTGAAAGAAGAATGGTAACCTTTATGCTAAAATAGGTATAAATGTAGAGATCTGCATAGTGGAGACCAGTTGTGACTCAGTGGAGTGAACTGTTTGTGGAAGTTCGATTGATTCTGAAATTGCCATCTTTGTAGGGGTGGGGAAGACTCTCTTCTCCTGTGGAGGGCTCCTCGTGGCTGTGTCCCTGTTGGCTGTCAGCGTTACAGTGCTTCACTGTCTCTCCAGCAGGCACGGCAGTGCTGTGGCCAATAGTGCAGGCTTAGGAGGTAGGCCTCTGGGCTCTAGATGCCAGCTCAGCCCTTTATCACTGTGTGGACATGGGAGGGTTAGTTAGCCTCTTTGTGCTTTACTTTCTTCATCTGTAAAATGAAAATGATAAGAGTACCTACCTCACAGGGCTTTTGTGAGGATTAAATGAGATGGGAAATGTTAAGCCCTTCAAAGTAGGGCCACACAGTTCTAAGGGCTTCTTAGTAAGTGTCCGTTGTTATTGATATGTTGACTCTGTTCCGTTTTTCACTATCTTTTGAATCCTCAGGATGACTTACGAAAAGAGGACTTCAGCAGCATGAGTGCTCAGTTGTTATACAAAATGATCAAATCCAAGACTGAGTACCCTTTACATAAAGCCATCAAAGTGGAGAGAGAAGACGTGGTCTTTCTTTATCTAATTGAAATGGATTCACAGGTACTGTTGCTGTTTCTTTCATTAGTCATGCCTTTTCCCCAACTATGCTTTGCTTGTTTTTTTCGGTAATGCTCTTTATTTCCTTCTGAGCCTTTCTCAGCACAGTTCTTAATGTAGTCTTTCTGCTGGTGGTTTGTGTGGGCATCTGAGCTTTCTCTGTTGTGCTTCTCAACATTCTTCTAACCTCTGTGTTGCCCAATTCCAGAGCCACTCCCACATTTTCTAGGTAGTTTTTACTGCAGAACCCACTTTCTGGGTACCAAAATCTGTTTTAGTTTTCTTTTGCTGCTATAAGAAATTACCACAAAACTAGTGGCATAAGCAACACAAATTTATTATTTCACAGCTTTATATGTTGGAAGTCCAGTACCAGGCTGTGTTCCTTTCTGGAGGCTCTAGGGGAGAATCCAGTTCCTGCTCATTTGGGTTGTTGGCTGGCTGTAAGCTGAGGGTGGTTCTCAACCTCTAGAGGCTATCACCTTCCTTAGTGCACGGCCCCTCCCTCTAACAGCCAGTGATGGTGGAGCAAGTTCTTCTGTCATATCTCTATGACCTACCCTTCGCTTCTCTTTTTCACTAAAGGGCTCATGTAATTAGATTGGGCCTGGCTGGATTATCTAGGATGTTCTTCCCCTTTTCAAGGTCCTTAGCCTTAATCACAGCTGCAAAGTGTCTTTCATCCAGTAAGGTGACACACTCACCAGTTTTGAGGATTAGGACATGGACATCTCAGGGGGCTACTGTTTTGCCTACCACACCAAATGCAGTTGCTTTTGACAGATGGGAGTGTAGTAGTTTTAATCTGCCCAGTGTGTTGGGGAGACATTAAAAGGCTAGGAGGAGTTAAACAGTGAAGCCACGGTTTTTTATGAAAACGTTAGCTTTTTCCCATCGAGCTCTCTGCACCTCAGCCTGGGCTTGTGTTCCCATAGCACTGTCTGCATTTCCCCCTCAGCCCTTGTACTGTCTTCCATGGTGTTTGCATCCGTCCATTACTTCCGTTCTCCTTGAATGGCCTGTGCCCTGAGGAGGCCTGAGAGAAGTTTGGGAGTTCAGTTGAATTTGAGGGGTAAGCTAAATTTTGACATTTACATAAGAGATGATATTTAAGAGTCAAGGTGGGAGAGACTAAAATCAGTTGTATTCTCTACTGGCTGGGTGCTAATTGACAAATTTATTTGTGCAGCTCCCTGGGAAGCTGAATGAATTGGATCATAATGGAGATCTTGCTTTAGACCTAGCTCTTTCCCGACGACTAGAGAGTATTGCCACAACGCTGGTTAGTCACAAAGCTGATGTGGACATGGTAGACAAGAATGGCTGGAGCTTGTTACATAAAGGAATCCAAAGAGGTAGGAAGAAGTGTATTTTATATTTTTCCTCTACAGGCAGTTTTATTTACATCGAAGTACTTTTTGAAGACTCTCTAACCTTATTCCACAGATTCTTAAAGGCTTCTTGAGTCTGTACTCACAGGGGCTCCATGATTTAGAATTTGTGATCAGTAGGTCAAGAGGGGAATGAAGAGCTATTGCCTGTGCCTTGTTGGTTAGGCTCTTCATAGTGTCAACAGGGCCCCCAGAAGAAAGGCTAGAAAGATGGTACTTTCAGAAGAACCTTTTACTTGTAAGCAATTGATTTGTTTGCTTTTTGTTGTTGTTTGCTTTTTAATATCTTTCTCCAGGAATTGTGCTAGGAAGACTTTACTCAAACATTCTTGGATTCGGAGTTGTCACTTTTACAAACTAGACTTCTGTTCTGTTATATCAATATGATAAAGTTTCATTTTGTTTTAGTAAAGTTATATTTTGTAGCTATAATCAAAAATTATAAATTGTAGCTGTATTTTGAGTACACAGTAGTGGGAAGAATAGGGAGTGATAGAATTAAGAAGAAAACATTTTAATGTTAATGAATTCACTGTTCAAGGGAAAAAAATTATCTTTTGGTTGTCTAGTTTTGTTTTTGTCTTTGTGCCTGTCCAATGTTCCCAACACCATTTATTGAAGAGACTATCTTTACTCCATTGTATGCTCTTGCCTCCTTTGTCAAATATTAATTGACAATAAAGGTGTGGGTTGATGTCTGGGCTCTCTGTTGTTTTCCACTGATCGATATGCCTGTTCTTATGCCAGTAACAGGCTATTTTGATTACAGTGGCCTTGTAGTATAGTTTGATAATCCAGTATTATGACACCTCCAACTTTGTTGTTCTTGCAGTAGTGATTTTTGACAGAGTGTGAAGCTATATAGATGTAGCATTCCATTATGGAATGAAAGTTTTCAAAAATGCCAAAGCCTTGCCCTGGCTGGGTGACTCAGTTGGAGTGTCATCCCATACACCAAAAGGTTGTGGGTTCGTTTCCCAGTCAGGGCACATAACTAGGTTGCGGGTTTGATCCCTGATCAGGGCATGTAGGAGATGTAACCGAATGATGCTTCTCTTTCACAGTGATGTTTCTCTTTCTCTCTGTCTCTTCCTTCCTCTGTCTCTAAAATAAATAAAAATATATTCTCAGGTAAAATGCCAAAGCCTTAATTTTGTAGAGAGATGGATGACTTGATTGAAGTACTTGGCCACTTTTTCACGTATGGACATCAAAGACAGAATATACTGGTTCCCCCACATCTTAATCATGTATATTTATCCTTTCAGTTCTGCATTATTACACTATTATTGTCTCTTCTACACTTTTGCTATTCACAAGTTGTTCCTACTGGGTGGAATGTAGTTACTTCAGATATGGTTCTGTTGCAGCTATGGTTTTGTCCTTTTTGGGCAAAGGTTTTAATAATATAAATATCCCTTTAAGCCATGTGTTAATGTTAAGCTTGCTGGCTAATGGAGAGGAAAAATTTGTTCATCGTTGGGAAGGAAATCCTTAGAGTACATCAGTTTCAAGAGCAGATGCATTTTTCCCAAGCACCACTATGCATTGTGCAAAGCCGTTGGGTGCTTAGCACAGGGTGTGTGTTCAGTGGGGGAAGTTTCCACCACACGGAATTATTCTTTCCCATACTGTTTAGTGTCTGAGATGTTTATTTTGGAAACAAATAGATATGTTACTATAAAAACAGTCTCAGAATTATGTTTCTTTCCTCTTAGAGAGTTAAAGATGAAAACATCTTTGATGAGTTATTAAATATTTTGGTGATTGCTTAGTTACAAGAATTGCCAAGAATTGGTGATGCATTCTTGATGCTTGTTTTCAGATGATTTAATCTACTCTGAATTTATCAGTTGCCTGCAAGCCTGTGGATTGCAATGTGGGTATGGTAAACTTTATTGTTGCTCACTCTGGAGAGTGTGGCATGGGGTGGTGGACACTGGCATTGGGACTTGGATGTACCAAGATTTGAATACCACCTCATCCACTTACTCTGGCCTTGGACAAGTCACTTAACCCCCTGGTCCCCTTTTTCTTATCTGTAAAGTGGGAATCATTTCTCTTTGCTGGTTGTTTGGAGAATGAGAGACAGTGTTAGTAGCATACCTTGCATGGTGACAGCCATGCTGTAGGGTCAGCCCACAATTCTTGACTGGGCCCTGAGTTGGAATGCCGCAACTCAGTAGTTCCAATTCCTGTAGGAGTTGTTTTCACTTTTCTTTCTTCAATTGAGGTGTTAACCTTACTTAAGAGTGAAGATCTTTCATGTATAAGATTTAAGTTTGGTTCTGGACACATCTATAAACGGAAGTCAGTAGGTCATTCTAATAACCAAGTGTACCAGTCAGTTTTTGTGAAGAATGAAATAGGCAGGCAGTGTCTGAGTGAGTCCGTAGGAGGTATGCACATGACCAGATTAGCTCAATCTAGGCAAGAAGGTGAATCCTTGCTTTTAAAAAATCTACTTCTTCTTGTACTGATTTTCCAGAATAGCCAACATTAGTCATTGAGTCGGTAAAATAGGATGCTCCTGTCTAACTATTTGTAGTAGATTTGCACATTATGCCACCAACGGGAGCAGCATGAGACACGGTTTGTATTAATTAAATATTGAAAGTTACTGCCCAGGCCGGTTTGGTTCAGCAGTTAGAGCATTGGCCTGAGGACCAAAAGGGTCACAGGTTTGATCCCCAGCCCCAGTCAGGGTCATATGAGAGGCAACTGATTGATGTGTCTCTCTCACATTGATGTTTCTCTTTCTCCTTCCCTCCCACTCTATCTAAAAATCAATGGAAAAATATCCTAGGGTGAAGATTAACCAAAAAAAGAAAGAAAGAAAGAAAGTTGCTGGCTGTTCCCTGAATAAAACTACTTTTATCAGGAAGCTGCGTTCAAATAAAAATTGTGTGTGGATTTAAAACATTTTCTTCTTCTAATGTTTTTATTTTTTTGAGAGAGAGAAACAGTGATCAGCTGCCTCCTGTGTACCCCCTACTGGGGATTGAGCCTACAACCTGAGCATGTGCTCTGACTGGGATTTGAATCAGGACCTCTCAGTCCATGGGATGGTGCTCAGTCCAATGAGCCACACTGGCTGGACTGTGGATTTTTTTTTTTTTTTTTTTTTTAATGTTAACTGTTTGGTTAAGACTATTTTTATGTGGACAAGTCATGATAATAATGCCTCAGGTGTTGTGAATGAGGTGATGAAGTAACTAAAACTTTTAAGCAGCAGTTTTTATTTTAACTGGTTTTGATAATCTTTCTAAAACGTATTAGACGCTTTCTGTTGACAGGAACTTTATAAATGGTGCTTTAGGTGTTTTCTAGCCCCTCCTTTTATTCTGTTCTTTTTATGTCAGTTGTCTTTTTTCTCCAGGTTGTGTACCTGTGGGCTAACTCTTTTAATGTAAAACATCACCACTTTTCAATTTCCAGTATTTCCTCATTAACATTTTGTGTTGGGGTGCACGTATGTAAGTACATATATATGTTTAAGTAAAAAACAAAATACTTTGGTTCTTACTAATAAAGTAAAAGCTATATAACTCTCTTAAGAGGATTAAAATATGAAAATTTTATAATTGCCTTCCACCTGAATCTAAGCATTGCAAGGTTTTCCTGTGCCCTTATCTCTGTGTGCAGTATTACCCAGTTTATCTTCTGTATGGATAGTATTATAAGTTTCTCATTAATCTATATTGTTTTGGTTTATTATCTGTTTATCTCTTAGTTTGGAATATATGCCAAGCTTAAAGGTAATGAAACCACATTCCACATTCCCTGGTATCTTAGAAATTGAATTTTTCATTTTAAAACTCTCTGTCCTAATAACTCATAAGTTTTCTTCTACTTCCAGATTGTAAGTGACTTTCTCTAGATTATTTTATTCCATTGCCAATGTACTGATTTTACGTATTCTCTCCTAGTCTGAATCTCTGGGGCTTGTTCATACAACACATTGTAGCCCTACTGTGTACATGGATCTCCATCTGTGTATACAGAGGCCTGGTTCAGCCCAGCTCCCTGGTATGCATGTTACCTGCTGTTTTCAGAGCTCTGTTGACATCCTGTTGTCTAGAAATCTAAGCTTTGGTCTTTTGCACATAATGTGGCTAAAGATTGCATTTCCCCCCACCCCCTAAGAAAAAAATTGGAGGCAGAAGAGTGAAAGTATTTCAGAATGGGTCAGTTCGAGAAATTTCAAGTTATCTTAAGTTGTAATTGATATGGTATTAGAGCCGGTCTATTAAGGTGGAACCTAATAGCCTTGACCAGTCTATTGACTTTCTTCTCAAACATTTCCCTGATGTCTGTTTTGTATAAGACAGAGGTGAATATTGTACAAAAACAAATCAGACATGGACTGATCAGCATCTGAAGGGCCTAGCCACCTCAGTGCCAGATCTCACCTTCTCCAGCAAGATGTCCCTTGGAAGAAAGTACATGGGAGGTGTTGAAAACCAGAAGATTTTGAAAATTCCATGTTCACTGAAGACCACATGAAACCCATACATTCAGATGAAAATGAGCACAGGTATATAGATGAGAGACTTCAGAGCTTTGCCACTCCTGAAATCCTAAGCCCCATTCTAGATGTTTAGACTGCATAAGTATAGTTGAAGAAGATGAAATAATATTGCAAGATAGAAAAGAAAACCTCTCATTAGTGACTTTAAGAGAAATTCATCTTTTGGAAGTTGTGATTTAAAGGAGTGTGCATTGCCCTGGCCGGTTTGGCTCAGTGGTTAGAGCGTCGGCCTGCGGTCCAGAGAGACCCGGATTCGGTTCCCGCTAAGGGCATGTACCTCGGTTGCAGTTTGTCCCTAGCCCTGGTTGGTCGTGCAGGTGGCCGCCACGCAATGTGTCCCTTTCACGTCAATGTTTCTCTCTCTCTCTCTTCCTCTCTCTCCCTCCCACTCTACCTGAACAAAAAAATGAAAAAATGTCCTCGGGTGAGGATAAAAAATAATAATAATAATAATAAATAAAGGAATATGCATTTACAGTATGAACAGAATTAGAAACAGATGTAAGTATTCTGCAAAGACAAAACAGATCAACTATGGAAAGAACACCATTGCTTATGATCGATACATTGAATAAGTTCCAAGGCACCTTTAATAACCTGGCATTCATCCCAAGACCGTCAGTGAATTTAAGAAGTACAGTCAATGATCTTGTGACTAGCAAATCAAGCTGGGAGGTTGCTCTGCATTTTTGGGATCTTCCAGCTAAAGAAGGATGTGATTTGCAAGAAATTAATTCTGTATAAACCTTGGTGAAATGGGGATGGAATCTACAGAAGGAATCTCTGAATCCCAGATGAAGCTCTTCTTGGGATGTACTCTGGCCTGTCAGGGAGGATTTGAAAGACTTCCCAGCTATGAGCTAATTGGGCTGCCTGGAGGCTACTGAAAGAAACAGTTACTTCCACCCAGCTAGAGTGTCTCAAAGCATGCATTGTGCATGTGTAACTGGATGATTTCTCAGTTAATAGTTTATTATCTTATGATGCATTGTTGTTCTTGCCTTATTTTCTTAAGAAACATTCATTTTATGTTCATTTCATTAATACATGTTTTGAATTTATAAACGGAACTAAATCTAAGGAATATTGAACTTTAGGTAATCTTACAGCAAACTTAATTGCTTAATCCCTGTCATCCTCCAAGTTAACTTGACAAGATACTCTAACTGATTTTCTACAAGTATTTTTAACATCAAATTGCCCCTTGTTCGGTTACTTGGTTCTGAATTTAACCATGTATTCACAGAGCCAATCAGCTTTTCTTTGTTGGTATATGACAGAATATTTTCAGAATTGTATATCTTTAATATCGTTATGAAAACTTAATTCTTGGCTTTTTGTCTGGACATCTGTCAAGGTAGTTCTTTTCCCTCATACAGAACACTAGACAAAATGGTAGTTTGAGCCATTGAAATGACTGGATCTTATATAAGTTACTCAGTTTCGCTTTGATATTTGTAAATAATCCTAGTTGGCCTCTTCTACTTATAATGTCCAAGAGTTAAGACTTTTATTTTTACATCCAGTTAATTTACCATGTGAATTGTTTTGTAACTAGCAATGTGTACAGATTCTGTGTTCAGATACCCAGTTGTAAACGTTTTGTTGTGTTTGTATGCAATGAGATTGAGAAAACAAAACCTTTGTAATAATAAATCAATCAGACGTGGTCTTCCTCTGGAGAGGAACCGGCATGCAAGTACAGCAGGTTGAGGGTATGTGTTGCTTAGGTGTAAACAGTGGTGAGGAATTGAGAGAGGGAGATAAATTGTGTTGGGAGAATCTTGGAACCCTTTTTGAGAGTTAATGATCAGAAGAGGCTTTTGAAGAATAGAAACCTGGTATATTGAATTGTGAAGTGATACTGAGGTGAGGGGGAAGGACAGATAACAGGTAATCAGAAATTGAATAAAGCCTTTTGAATTCAAGTGTGTAACTTTGTGATCTTAATGATGAGTTCCCACCCACAAGTGTCCCAAAGGATTCTGCTTTCAATAATGCATCCTGTTGTTCCTCTTCGTCTGCAGTTACTGACTGGTGCCTTTTTGAGGCAACATCAGCCAGAATAGCTTGCCTTGGCTTTCATCATATGTGACCATTTCTTCTATTATTTTTTTTCTAGGGGATCTCTTTGCTTCCACTTTCCTCATTAAGAATGGGGCTCACGTCAATGCTGCTACCTTGAGTGCCCAGGAGACACCATTGCACCTGGTAGCATTGTACAGTTCAAAGAAACACCCAGCAGATGTGATGTCTGCGATGGCACAGATTGCAGAGGCCCTCCTGCAGGCTGGTGCCAACCCCAACATGCAGGACAGCAAGGGCAGGTAAGTGGGGGAGCGAACAGACTGTTCTTAGCACATTCCCAGAATGTTATTTTATGGTGGCAGGTAACTTGCAGACAGGGACTTCATGTTCTTTAGTTTGTCATTTTTCAGTCTGATTTTTATTACAGTCACAAACATTCATTTGTTACGCAAATAAGAGACATGACCAAGGCTAGAGACATTTGGGGAAACCATTTCCATCCTGGGTAACTGAGGTCCTTGGATTTGTAAGCAATTTCTGTCATCATCAGAGTGGTCATGTATCTAGTTCAACTCCCACGAACCTTCTATCATCTTTGTTAGAGTTGCTTGGATACATAGAAGCGGAGTGCATCATCTCAAGGCAGTGTGTTTTATTTCTGTGAGGTCTAATGGTTGCGAAATTCTGTGTATTAAGTCCAGTTCTTCCTTCTTGTAAATGCTCCCACTTTAGACAACTCCATCTGCACAGCTTGCCACTTCTTCCACAGCATAGCCCTTTGCATGTTTAACAGTAGAAGTCGTGTTCTTTTTGTCCCTTCCCAGAAGTATTTAGTTGAGGGTTCCTTGTGGTTTAGAATCTAAGAAAGGACTGCTTGTCTTTGGGATAGCAGTGTGGGAGGCAGTGAAGCCACCTGAATCACCAACAACAAGTTGGGCTCATTTTCATCATAGCAGCTCAGTATTTTATACCTTTGAAAACCCTCTCAAAAAATAAGATTTCTGTGAAATTGTTCGAATAGGAAAATAGATTTGTGTGATGGACAAAATATTTAAATAAGATGGCTCTCCATGAACTCTCAGTATTGTATGATAATTATTTTATTTCCCAAAAATAATTGCATACTTTTTGCTTCTTTTGTTGATTCTTCACCTTTTCCCCCTGCTAGCTGCAACAAACTCTGGCAGCCTGTAACTCTGAGACAGATGCCAGTCTGGGGGACCATGTGCTCTGCAGCGGCAGTCTTTTTCAGGGCACTCAAGGGCTAAATAAAACAGTGAAGAGTGCTTACCTGCCACTTTAATCAGCTCCTGCCTGTTGCCACTCTGCGTGCGTTTGAGTATAACAGGATTATGGGAAGAAAAAATTTCTTTTCAGAATTGTGGCAGACAGGTAGGGGGAATATGTTTTTATTGATTTTTTTTTTTTTTTAGAGAGAGGAAGGGAGAGAGAGAAAATTGATGTGAGAAACATCCATCGACTGCCTCCTGTACATCCCCTACTGGGGATCAAACCTGAAACCCAGGCTTGTGCCCTGACTGGGAATCGAACCTGCAAACTTTTGGCGTACCGGACAATGCTCCAATCAACTAAAGTTTTAAAAATAAAAAAATATGTTGTTTTTTTTGTCTTTTTAGAAAGAGAGAGAAAGGGAGAGGGAGATAGAAACAGTGATGTGAGAGAGAAACATTGATTGGCTGCCTCCTGCATGCCCCCTACTGGGGATCGAGCCCGAAACCCGTGCATGTGCCCTGATCAGGAATTGAACTGGGACCTCTCAGTCCATGGGACGTCGTTCAATCCACTGATGTTTTGAACACTGACCAGACAAAAACTGATGTTTCAAAAGCATGAGTATATGCACAATCAGTTAACCATGCACATGGTTAAATCAGTATTTAACTGGAGAGTATTTATATTTCATCCCTTTATTGATTCTTACCCTTTTGGCTACTGAACAAAGGGTAACATATAAGCAAACCCATTTAAAAAATTTGTAATATCTTTTATTTAACCTAGGGTTCAGCAAAGTATAGCCTGTGGGAAAATTCTAGTCCACCACCTGTTTCTTTTTAAATAAAGTTTTTTTTAGAACACAGCCATGTCCATTTGTTTATGTTTTGTCCACAGCTGCTTTTACACTAGAACAGCAGAGTTGAGTAGTTTTGTAATTCATGCTGGATGGCCCACAAAGCTAAAAATATTGTCTGGTCAGTGTGGCTCAGTTGGTTGGAGTATCCTCCTGCACCCCGTGGGGTGGTAGGTTTGACTCCTCGTCAGGGCACATTCCCGGGTTGTGGGTTTGATCCCTGGACAGGGTGTGTGTGTGAGGCGACCAATCAGTGTTTTTCTCTCTCTCCCCCTCTCTAAAATCAATAAAAATTAAGCAACCTCTTTTCATTCTTTGATTCTTGATCATGGTTTTTAGGAAACTGTTTGCCAGGGTAGAAAAAGACACTGTTGCAGAGATGTGGAAGTTCTTGTGGATGGTGATTCTGCCTGGGATTCTAGTTGCCTCTTGCTGTGGTAATTGGAGCCATCCTGACTGACACCTCCTCTCCTTCATCCTACAGGACTCCCTTGCACTTGTCCATCATGGCCAGGAATGAATACGTGTTCAATCAGTTGCTGCAGTGTAAACAGTACGTAGGGAGACATGGAGAAATGAAAAAGCAGTTGTGAGGGTGGGATTGTGAGTGAAAAATAATTTTTAAGTGTTATTTAGTGTTATAAAATGTAATAAAAGTAAATTTTAAAAATAATCATTCATAAAGTATAAAGAGAAAGAATCAGGTTGTTGTCAGTACAGAGTGTCTGAAGAAGGTGCTTGCTATTCACATTGCTTCCTTGTTTCAGATTAGATTTGGAACTGAAAGACCACGAGGGCAGCACAGCTCTGTGGCTTGCGGTGCAGTATATCACTGTGTCATCCGACCAGTCTGTAAACCCCTTCGAAGACCTTCCTGTGGTTAATGGGACTTCGTTTGATGAAAACAGCTTTGCGGCCAGACTTATTCAGCGTGGCAGCAACACCAATGCACCCGATATGGTCACAGGTAAAGCATGGATCCCTGAGAGCTGATGCCCAAGTCTGGAGGCTCCATGAAATACTGTCAGAGTTTACCAAAAATTTAGAAACCAAATGACATGTTATTGTTAAGTATTTTGTACTTAATTTTAACTGTAGTGAAAGTCCAAGTTATTTTTATTTTAATCTTGTGCTTCCAAAAGTTTAGCCAGATTTTGAACTGTGTCCATTAATCTCAGAAATACTTCTGTTTATTTAATGCAGTGAATTTCAGATTTTTTGGACTTAGAACTCCTTTTACCCTCTTAAAAATTGTGTCCCAAAGAGCTTTTGTTTTGGTGGGATATATTTTTGATGTTTATTGTATTAGAAATTAAAACTAAGAAATGTTTTACTCTGACCAGTTTTGCTCAGTGGTTATATGCTCAGTGGTTAGAGCATCGGCCCATGGACTGATAAGTCGCGGGTTCAGTTCCAGTCAAGGGCACATACCTCGGTTGCGGTTCGTCCCCTGCCCTGGTTGGGTCGTGCGGGAGGCAACCAGTCGATGTGGCTCTATCACATCAATGTTTCTCTCTGTCTCTCCCTCCCTCTCACTCTATCTGATAATAAGTAGAAAATATTTTTGGGTGAGGAATAAAAAAAAAACCTGAGAAATTTTTTAAAGATGTATTAAAAATAATAACAAACTACCTTTCTGCCTTTGGACACCACCAAGTAAACATCACTGAAGTCTCCCCTCCCATAGTCATCATGTCTAGGTCAGAGTCTCCCAAAGAGCTCGGACAGCTGTGGACACTCTTTTTTGGAGGTTTAAGCTTTGAAACAACCAATGAGAATCTGAGGAGCCATGTTGAGCAGTAGGGACGCTCACCGAGTGTGTGGTGCTGAAATCCAGACACCAGGTCTCAGAGGCTCTGGGTTGTCATGGTGCCACTGTGAAGGACATCGATGCAGCCATGAATACAAGGCCACACGAGAAGGATGGAAGACCTGTGGAACCACAGAGGGCTGTCTCAAGAGAAGATTCTCAAAGACCTGGTGCCCACTTCACTGTGAAAAAGATTTTTGTCAGTGGTATTTTAGAAGACTCTGAAGAACATCACCGACAAGATTATTTTGAACAGTCTGGGAAAATTGAAGTGATTGACATCATAACTGACCAGGGCAGTGGCAAGAAGAGAGTCTTTGCTTTGTAACCTTTGATGACCATGACTGCAGACAAAACTGCCATTCAGAAATAGCACACTGTGAATGGCCACAACTGTGAAGTAATGAGAGTCCTGTCTAAGCAAGAGATGGCTAGTGCTTCGTCCAGCCAAAGAGTTTGAAATGGTTCTGGAAACTTCAGAGGTGGTCATGGAGGTGCTTTTTGGTGGGAATGACAACTTTAGTCATGGAGGAAACTTCAGTGGTTGAGGTGGCTTTGGTGGCAGCCACGGTGATGGTGGCTATGGTGGCAGAGGGGATGGCTGTAATGGGTTTGGAAATGGAAGCAATTTTGGAGATGGAGGAACCTTCAATGATACTGGCAATGACAACAATCAATCTTCAGAGTTTGAATCCATGAAAGGAGGAAACTTTGGAAACAAAAGTGTGGTGGTGGAAGCCAGTGCTTTGCCAAACCACGAAACCAAGGTGACTGTGGCAGTTCCAGGAGCAGCAGTAGCTAAGGCAGTGGCAGAAGGTTTTAATTACTGCCAGGAAACAAAGCCTAGCAGGAGAGGAGAGCTAGAGAAGTGACAGGGAAGCTACAGGTTCCAACAGATTTGTGACCTCAGCCAAGCACAGTGGTGGCAGGGCCTCACTGCTACAAAGAAGACATGTTTTAGACAACACTCATGTGAATGGGCAAAAAAATTTGAGGACTGTATTTGTGACTAATTGTATATGTAATACAGTAACAGCGACTTTCAACCACTGTGCTGCAAGAATTTTTAAAACATGCAATACCTGACTTTAGTCAAAGGCACTGACCTTTCTTTCCTTAGATTGCCAAGTAAAAAAAATAAAGATAATAACCAACACAACACTAGCCATCAGGTGTGAATGAATCAAAATTATACCTTTAATTTTTTTTGTCAGATTGGCAAAAAATATATATTTTTGGTGTGCTGCAGGATTTTAGTAATTAGTTTGGGTGCCATGAGATCACAAAGGTTTAAAATCACTGGTGTAACAAGTTTAGTTTCTGTTCTGTGGAAAGTGCAATGCATTCCAACAAAGGGTTTTAATATAGTTTTTTTTTTTTGCACCCATGTTGTTGATTGCTAAATATAATAGTCTGATCAGGACACTAAATAAATGTGTCTTTAAAAATATTAAATAACAAACCATTATATGTTAACATTTTTTTATGAAGAATACCTTTCGAAACAAAATTTCATTGGAAGAATGCCAGTTTCTTATATTTGTATCTGTACTCAAACTTTTGAGATACGCTGTTTTGGTTAAAGTATATGAAGAAAATATACTTCACAAAATTATGTAGCTGGAAAAGGGAGGCCTATTTTAAGAGAGTTTTTAGATAATTGTGGATATATTTCTTTGATACTTCAGCAAGCAAATTTCATCAAGTAATACCTTTTTTAAGGTTAGTTGCAGTGTGGGATCTGAACTTCTTATAGTGTATTATATTAAAATCATGGTCCACTTGTGGTTCGAATGGATTTTTTTCCCTCCGTGCATGATTTTGTAACATCATGCCTTATTTATTTGGAAAATACTGGTTTGCTGAGTTATGCAGCTCTTTCAAGTGTTCGTTTTATTTCAGAATCGTGTTAATACCACCACTGAGATCATCAGAAAAGTCTTTCATTATTAAGAATCTGTCAAACACAGTTGCAGATAAAAGTTTTCCAAAATTCCAGTTTTTACCAACAAGATCGAATTTATCATTCGGTACAAATTGTTTTTTTTAGCGAGACATGTTCAGCCTGGCTGGTGTGGCTTAGTGGATTGAGCGTTGTCTCATGGACTGGGAGGTCCTGATTCCCAGTCAGAGCGCATGCCCGGGTTGCAGGCTCGATCCCCAGTAGGGGGCGTGCAGGAGGCAGCCGATTGATGTTACTCTCTTATATCCATGTTTCTTTCTCTCTGCCTCTTCTCTCTCTCTTCCTCTTTCTCTAAAAAAATTTTTAAATTAAAAAAAAAGAGAGAGACAAGCTCATTTTGTTCATTTTCAAGAAAATGTCTGCCAGATACTCATGTTTGAATGCCGTAGTTTGTTAAGCAGTCATTCTTTCAAGTAAAATGGTGTTCATGCAAAAGGCTGCTAGTTCAGCTTGCAGCTTAACCAGTCACACAAGTGCTTTTCCTCGAGACAGCTATTGTACTTGTTACACACAAATGTAACTTTATGTATATTTCTTATTTTGTCATATAGAACTTTGAAGATGTGCACTCATTATTGAGATATAATAAAGTTAGTAATTTCTAATGCTTTATCAAGGATCAACTTAAGTTAAGGTGGCTTTTTTTTTTTTTACTATGTGCATGCTGGTGAAGATTACAATGACTATGAGTACATTTTGAGGCCCTGTCTTGATTTATATTAAGGCTCCCTAGTTTGAGTCACCATTGCTTTTGTACCATGTGTGCAAATGTCAGCACTGTGGGGAAAAGCAAATAGCATCAAGTATTATTATGAAAATAGTTTGACCTCATGGGCCCTCTGAAAGACTCCCAAGAATCTGTAGACCACACTTTGAGAACCACTGTTTTAATGTGATTATTTTCTCCAGCTGACTAAATAAAACATGGGGATATGTTAAGGAGAGGGATCCCATATAATTCATTATTGAATACTAACTATATGAAGCGTGGGTAGGTGCCACTAATGAGGGAAATTGGCTGAAAAAGATGGATATTAAACAGCCCTTACCCTAAAAGAAGTTACTAACTAACTTTAAATGTTAGATGAAATCATCCCTCTGGATGACTTAAAAGCTGAAAGCAATGGTAAAAAGCTATAGGACAGGGAGTACAGAAGAGCTGTGTTTTAGACTAAAGACCTCTGGAAATGAGATAGTTACTAAGTTACTTTTTATTTATAAATGTGTGTTGGTTATTGTCATAATTGTATTGATTTCTAATTTAATTACACTTATGAGTGTGGTGTGTAAGAGATTGGTTCTTTGATATTGAGGATTTACAATTAGACTCAAGTTTTTATGAAAGTTTAATGTGTACTTGAAAAGAATGTGCATTCTTTGATTGTAGAATGCAGCACTCTCTGTTTATGTCCATTAGATCAGGCTTGTCTGCTGTGCTGTTCAAGTCTTCCTCATTAACACTAACTGCTTGATCTGTCTGTTTCTGGGAGGTGTGTTAAATTTTCACTATGCTTATGGATTTGTTCATTTTTCTGGCTAGTTCTGTCCATTTTACTTTATATACTTTGCTTTGATACATATTCAGGATTATTTTTTCCTTGTTCCATTTTTTATTATACATATATAGCTTTAGACACTGTTTTTCAATATCGCAATGATGTTTTAATAAGTCGCAGGTTATCTTGTTTTGTAGGGAGGTACAGGTATCCCTGCTTTTCAAAACTTTGCTTTATGCCACTTTGCTTTTACGAAAAACCTACATTAGTATCTGTTTTCACTAAAAGAAATATAAAGAGGATTTTTATGTTAACAAAAAAGGGCAAAAATAGCATTCAGCACATTTGTAGCAAGGTGGACATACCCCAAGCAGCAACAGTGGCACTGTTCTCGCTGCACGTTAGTGTTTTGTTTTAAGTTTATGTGTCGCTTATTATGATTTGATAGGTTCTTTTTGGGGTCCAGGAATGCTGAAAATGTTTTTCACATGAATTAATGGTAGTTGCCTTTTCACTTTACACCATTTCAGCTTACGAAAGATTTGATAGGAAACCTGCTTTTGCGTAGCAGGGGGAAACGTATGTGAGGCAGGTCTTGTGTACACCACAGTGACTGCAGAAGTGAAACGGGACTCTGGTTAGGAGTCTGAATTCGAAGACTCAGCTAGAGGAGGAACCACCTTCTCTGAGGGAAGAGGAGAAATGGTATGAAAACAAAGCAGTGCATTTCATTATAAATGTATATCCCATTTCTTCGCCTTGTTTTTATTCCTGGTATTTAATTGAGGTTTCAAATAGCATAGATGTAGAACATGACATTTTGTATTTATCCAAAAAGGAAATAGATTTTAGCAGAAAGAAAAACATTCCTCTGGGCTAAACCATTTCAAGACAAAAAGAAGGAAAACAAATTTTTTTCCTTTTATTTATAAAAGAGTGATAATGCTAAACAAAACATTTCTAAGCCAAGGACATTTAAGGCCATAGGAGTAAAATAAATATTTAAAGGGCATTTTCTGGTAGCACTTTAACTCACAATGTCTTCAAAATAGACATATAATCCAGGCACAGACAATCCCTCCACCCACCACCCCCAGGGACATTTGGCATCACCTCTAATCATTATTTTTGAATCCTCACCTGAAATATTTTGCCATTTATTTTAAGATAGAGTGCGGGGGGGAGAGAGAAACATATCGATGTAAGAGAGATACATTGATTCATTGCCTCCCACACGACCCCAACCCAGACCTGGGACCAAACTGCAACCGAGGTATGTGCCCTTGACACATACCAGAATTGAACCCACGACTCTTTGGTCTGAGTGCCCATGCTCCAAACGCTGAGCCAAACCGGCCAGGGCATCTGTAATTTTTTATTGTCACAGCAAGGTTGGGGGTGCTACTAACATCTAGTGGGCAGAAGCCAGGGATACTGCTAAATATTGTGCTGTGTAGGACAGACGCCTCACAACAAAGAATGATTTGGCCCAAAATGTCAGTGGCACTGCTGTTGAGAAACAGTTCTAATCCAGCCCCGGCAAGGAGACCTAACTTACTTTCCGTTCTGGGTGGTGGCTAGTGCAAACCCAAAGAAGAATGACTGTCTCCTGATTCCAGACCAAGCCTTTGCTCCACCTAGGCTCATCCTAATCTTCGTGGCCACACGCTGAGAGTGCCTGTGTGGACTTAAACGGGGCCCTCCGCAGGTGTGGGCTTGTCAGTTGTGAAAGGCCAGGGTGTGGTGCAGTGTGGAACTGGACCTCATTTTAATGCAAATGGAAGAGTGAATATGCCCATTTTATCCTAGGAAATTGCTTACTGCAACGGGCAGCTGAAGCAGGAAATGAGGCAGCAGCTCTTTTCCTGGCAACCAGTGGTGCCTATGTCAACCACAGAAATAAGTGGGTAAGTGTGACAGGGCAGCCAGAGCAAGCGGTTTTGGTCTATGGAAGAAATGACAGTGGCAGATGTGTAGGGGAAAATGGAATGGATTCTTTTTTTTTTCCAATTTTTCTCAGAGTAATACATACATGTGGTTAAAAAGAAACCAGAGTGAAACAGTTGTTTTTATCCTCAAATATGGGTTGATTGATTTATTCAGCAACCATTTCCTAAGCATTTGTGGTATATCAAGTCTTAAACTACACATGCATATGTGTGTATATCTTTCTGTGAATATTCTGTCACTGAGGGAAACATGAAACTGGTACCAGTGGTTCCTTTAGGGGAGGATCATTGGGTGGTGGGGGCAAGTAGTAAGAGAAAGCTTCTTTTCACTGAATATTCTGGTAGCTTTTTTTTTTTTTTTGGTACGTGCCCCTAGCGGGAACTGAACCCAGGACTCTGGTCCGCAGGCCGATGCTCCAACCGCTGAGCCAAACTGGCCAGAGCTCTGGTAGCTTTTGATATTAAAGTAAGTACCTATAGTAACAACTTAAAATTTTTTTAATTTTAAAAAGTAGGGGTGATGTGTTAATCAGTTCAAAGTGAGGTTGATGGAGCAGGTCAGAGAAATGGTGAGGGTGTGGCGGTGGGTGGAAGAGAGTGATGGTCACATTAAAGGAACTGCGTGTCTCGAGCTGTGATGGTGAGGCCCTTCCATTCTCTACAGTGTTCATCTTAGCGACACTTGGAAGTCTTCATTGTTTAATAATAGTCATATTATTTTTATAACTATAAATAATTATACAAACAAAGGGAAGGGTGGTTAAGAAGGTCATTAGAAATGCAGAAGATGAGGAGCCAAGACGTTTGGAGGGTGCTTGGAAGACCTTGAAGAAACTAGGATAATGGCACAGGGGACAGGGAAGAGAGGAGACCAGGAGGAGTGGGACAAAAGTCGTGGAGGTCAGCTGGTGACAGGACAAGCCAAGAGCTGTGACTGGCACTGGAGACCTGGGTTTCAGCACTTAGACTGTGTAGGGAACTCCCAGCCTGAAAGTGCTCTGATTTGGGTCATTTGTTTCTGTTCAGGGAGAAACCCCATTGCACACAGCCTGTCGACATGGCCTGGCCAACCTCACTGCAGAGCTCCTGCAGCAAGGTGCCAACCCGAACCTGCAGACTGAGGACGCTCTGCCTTTGCCGAAGGAGGCTGCATCCCTGCCCAGCTCCATGGGCAGTGTGTATCTGCAGACACCGCTGCACATGGCCATTGCCTATAATCATCCAGACGTGGTGTCTGTCATCCTGGAGCAGAAAGGTAGGTGGTGGAGACTTAACTGCCTGTCACTGACCTTCGAACAGTGGCTCTGAGTAGTTACTTACAGAGTTGATGTTTCTTTCATTGGTGAGTTTTTCAGGTCAAGCTAGATAAGCCTATAGTCCGGCCCCTGACCACAGTGTACATTTGCAGGATGGGTCCTGCCCATTTCACCCACTGGGTTAAGGTGTTAGGACCTTCGACTATGTCTTTTCTATTTGGGGGTGTTTTCGCAGGCATTTCAGGGTAGGTGAAGCAGAGCTTTGCTTTGGTGTGAGCTCTGTCTTTGAGAACTCAGCTGTGGCAGGTCCTCCATCAGCCATCATTTCTCATCTGTCTCTGGGCCACCCTGGCAGGTGAACACATGAGGTGGGAGTCAAGAAGAAGGGCCAGGGAAGCCCTTGCGGCGGGGGAGGCCCGATTCCCTCAGAAAGTCAGCCTCGGTGGTTCTGGCGTGTCCTGAAATTCACTTTACTCTCGACTGCATCCTGGTAAAGGCCAGCACTTTCTAGCACTGCTATGGAAGGAAGTGGGGTTTTAGGTGGAATGTGCCTTTTTCTTGGTCCTTGAAGGAATTGTAAAATGGTAGGAATTGTGCATTAGGAAAACATCGTCAGGGTGTTAGTTTTGATCCTGTTTTCCACAATCAGGTAATTAACACTTGTTTCCATAGTGGAGTCTAATTTCCTTTTATGAAGAAATTTTAAGTTTAAAATTTTTTCATTTTCTCCATAAGCTTTGCTCTAAAATATTAGATTCCTGGGCTTCCACTCTCCACAAGATTTATCAGTTTGTATTTTAGCCAGTTTGAAACTGAGCTCTTATTCTCTTGGATACTTTAAATGCGGCCCATGGGATAGTGAAATCAAGTGTTCTTTTCCTTTAAAAAAATTTAGCCAATGCTCTTCATGCCACCAACAACTTGCAAATCATTCCGGACTTCAGCCTCAAGGATTCTCGAGACCAGACTGTGCTGGGCCTGGCATTATGGACAGGTGAGGTGGTGCCAGAGGCTGTTGGTAGACAGACATATGTCAGATAGACATATGTCAGGAGTGGGTGAGCGAGAGAGGGAGGGAGGAGGGAAATGTGGAGGCTTGGAGCTAATCATTTGGTTGTAAAATAACCTTCCTGTTTGGGATAAGCCTGATGTGCAGTGGAAAGCTGCCAGCTTTGGGAAGTGGAGAGGGTGTGTTTGTTGTAATAAGATGTAGAAGTGGGGAAAGCTGCATGCATTAACCAGGGCTTATTTCCAGGCATGCACACGATTGCAGCCCAGTTGCTGGGCTCCGGGGCGTGCATTAACGACACCATGTCCGACGGGCAGACGTTGCTGCACATGGCCATGCAGCGGCAGGATAGCAAGAGTGCACTCTTTCTCCTGGAGCACCAGGCGGATATAAATGTCAGGTGAGCCGGAGCAGCCGCAACACCAGGTCACACTTAAGATGGTTGTTGAGCATATTATTGTCCTTGTTAAATAAAGGAAGGGGAACAGCAATGGAAGTGCAGATGCTATGCTGTAACTGCATGTGATCACACAAGCTCTCATGTGAGCCTTTCGAAACCAAGGCCCAGTATTGCACAAGCTCATTAAACAGGACAATCTAAAATCAGTGTTTGAGGAAGGATTTGTTATAGTGAAGAACATTCCAACAAACGAGCTATCAGAAAGGCTTGTGGAGGAAAATACACATGGTCTTGTATCTTCAAAGGAATGTATCTTTATCTCCAACATTAAGTGATCCTGAATGATGGTGAAGCATTTTGTCAAGTAGATGGTTGGGGTAGCATTTTATTAAAATGCTGTTAAAAGCAGCTCTGTGCTCTTAAGATTTCAACACCCTGGGATGTTGGTCCCTTGCCTTTTCTGTGACATAGGATGGCATGGCTATATTTTTTTTAAAGGTCTGGGACAGATGCTATTGACGGGTTATATTTCTCTGAAAGAATATTAATGAATGTGAGTGAATTATTTAAGGGATACTGTGGATTTGGGCTTCTGGAATGCCCAGAAGGGCACCCTGTGTCATTTGGCTTTAGCTACAAATGTTGGTTTTGGTGTGTGTGTCCTATCAGGACTCAGGATGGGGAGACAGCCCTTCAGCTTGCCATCAAAAATCAGCTTCCGCTTGTAGTGGATGCCATATGCACTCGAGGAGCGGACATGTCTGTGCCAGATGAGAAGGGGAGCCCTCCACTCTGGCTCGCTTTGGCAAATAGTCTGGAGGACATCGCGTCGACTCTGGTGAGGCAGACTTGACTGCAGCCGCTGTTTACACCTGGGGATGTTTTGTGTCAGATGGATTTGATATCTACATAGCAGTCACAAGGAGCAGGAGATCTGCCAAGTAACACACTGAGTCAAAGACGAGCAGTAGGAAGCTACACTAAAGAGACCTGCAGTTCAGCATAATCTAGGCCAACTCTTTTCTTCGGCTGTCTTTATCAAGAAAACTGCCAGGAAGCAAGGGAACTGAGGCATTTCCTCAGGAATCTGCTCCTGAGGTGGGTTAATTGACGTGGGCTACCCTGGCTGTCAGCAGAGCGGTCCATGCCCATATCCTTATTTTGTCTCCCTTATTCAGAAGATGGCCTCAAAAGCAGAGGTAACCCTGGGAGTTACTTAGCTTTTTGAAGGGCCTGAAATGTGACAATATGGCATGTTGCACCTGGGGGGTTTACCCAGTTGTTACTGATTTTACGTGTCAATTACAGGTATGTGTTACTGGGGGCTTGTGTGCATGTGTGTGTACGCGCGCACTTAGGTATGTTTTCTATTCTTTCTAGAACACAACTTTAGAGGGCACTAATAAAACATCTCTCGCTTATATTTCCTAAACATGTCACTTCAAGGATTAGTGCACACTTGCACAGATTTCAATCAGTGTTTGTAAAATGAATCACAGATTAAAATAATTATCAGTTAATTATCCGCTGTATCTTGTCTGTAAAACGAATTTAATGATGTGCATGGAGCTTAGAGATGATAATAAGAGTGTTTGTCTTTGCTAGGCAGTGTTTGTGAGTAATGTGTTTTTCTGCAGGTCAGACATGGTTGTGATGCCACATGCTGGGGTCCAGGACCTAGCGGGTGTCTTCAGACCCTCCTGCACAGAGCCATTGATGAAAACAATGAGTCCATCGCCTGCTTTCTTATTCGCAGGTCCGAGAAGCCTAAGTATCTCTTTAAATTTTTTTTATTCCCTTATTGTAGACTGTAACGCTGTAGTTTGTGACAGTCTTGTTGGCTTGGCTTCCTAATTAAGGCTGTCAGAGGGTCACTGTCTGTCAAGTCAGCCAAGAGACCTGACTCACTTGTGAGGAGAGGAGCTGGAGTGCCTAGATTAAAGACTAAAAGCTGTTAGCTTCCTGCAGGCTGCCCATAGCCAAATCAGACCAGTTTACACAGGGAAGTCAGGAGGCTGGCGGTGGGGTGGCAAATGGCCTCTGCAGAATCCCACCAAAATACATGAGCCATAACAGGCTCCATGGCCTCTCAGTACAGGCTGTGTGGGAGGCAAGGTTACACAAGAAACCTTTAGAGCGGTGGTTCTCAAATTGTAAGTGCATATAGATCTCCTGGGGAGATTTAAAGAGTTCTGATACCCAGGCTGTCCCCAGTACCAACTGCAGAAGAATCTGTGGGAGTGGGACCCAGACACTGACTCAAGGACAGCAATCCCTGATGGGGCAGTTTTTTGTTGGATTGGACAAGGCTGCTGCTGTATATTTATCTGCAGGCCTTTAGGCTGGTGGAAGCTTGGCACTTGAAGCTCTCCTGTCATTTCTCCTTCTTTCAGTGGCTGCGATGTGAATAGTCCCAGACAGCCTGGTGCTAATGGAGAAGGAGAAGAAGAGGCCAGAGATGGGCAGACCCCCTTGCACTTGGCAGCCTCCTGGGGCCTGGAAGAGACGGTGCAGTGTCTTCTGGAGTTTGGTGCCAATGTAAATGCACAGGTGTGGAGAGTTTCTCTTTTCTAGGGAGAGGGATGGTAACCCCAGAATTAGGGAAAATCTCCTCATGGCAAAGGGACCTTGCAGATTCTCCAGTCCTGGGCCTCTGCTTTACTATGAGTGAGGCTCAGCTACAGACAGATGAAGTGACTTTCTCTGTGTCATACAGCCTGCCTAGTCATTGTCATGACTTTGTGTTAAGACTTGTCTTCTTTGTGCCTTGGTCCTTCAGCTTCTCCATGCCTCCTATCCCCGTTAATTGTAGATTCCCATTGAGAGTTTGTTCTGGTCCCAAGCTGCATACAGACAGTCCCCAACTTACAGTGGTTTGACATAATGATTTTTTCAACTGTATGATGGTATGAAAGTGATATACACAATACAATAAATTACATGAGATAGTGTTAGGTTATTTTGCCCATCTGTAAGCTAATGTAAGTGTTCTGAGCACATTTAAGGCAGGCTAGGCTAAGCTTTGGTGTTCTGTAGGTTGGGTGTGTTAAATGCATTTTCAACTTAGAAGATTTTTCACTTATGATAGGTTGTTGGAATGGAGCTCCATCGTACGTTGAGAAACTTCTGTACATTGTTTAGGAAAATGTTCCAGTAGCTCAACTGAGCATCCCTGAGTTATGTTCCTTGATGCTTTTCAACGATCTACTATGAAGATTTATGTACTCTGCCCTGTAGCCAGTCTGATAAGGAGTGGTATAAATTAGCGGTGAGGTCAACTGCAGATCTTCTAAACAGATGTGTTTGTGCCCCTAGGTCACTGGAGCATGGGCTGATGGGGTGTGGCTTTTGTAATCTGTGCTTGGCCTAAGCTGATTTCAAACACCGGGTGGCAGTATTGATTCTCAGAACCACATTTGATTTCAAAGTTATCTCCCTTTATATTTTTCCTGAGTTTTATTGTTTGTTTGGACATTGAGATCTGTGCCTTGTCCCTGTAGGATGCAGAAGGAAGAACGCCTGTCCACGTGGCCATCAGCAACCAACACAGTGTCATCATTCAGTTGTTGATTTCTCACCCTGATATCCACTTGAATGTACGAGACAGACAAGGGCTGACCCCTTTTGCCTGTGCAATGACCTACAAGAACAACAAGGCAGCCGAGGCCATCCTGAAACGAGAGTCTGGGGCTGCAGAGCAAGTAAGTGGCCAATACCCAACATCCTCCAAGGCATCATGAACACAGCAGAACCTGTTAGGTGAAGACCAAATGTATGCTTCCAGTTATACAAGTCTCCTCTATATAAAGACATTATTTTGAAATTACACTCCCCTGTCTTCAAACCTGACCTTGTAGATGTCCTTTCAGTGCTGGAGGACATTAGACTGTTCTGCCCTGTGCATCAGCCACCTTACGGTGTCACATAAAGAAGGAAGCTGGGGTGGCTGGACCCAGTTATAGGAATTCTGTCATATGTGCAACTTGAGGTCATTCTTTGCATTTTGCTTGGTTGTTTAATTGCCCTAGTAACGAATCTCTTTAAAAGATTGAAATTGGCCCTGGCCAATTGAAGTTTGGCCCAGTGGTTAGAGTGTCAGCCTGCGGACCAAAGAGTCGTGGGTTTGATTCCTGTCAAGGGCATGTACCTTGGTTGTGGTTCTGTCCCCGGCCCTGGTTGAGGTCGTGCAGGAGGCAGCCAGTCAGTGTGTGTCTCTCACATCAATGGTTCTCTTTCTCCCTTTCTCTCCCTCTCCTTCCCCCTCTTTCTCTCTGTCTCCCCTCTACTCTATATGAAGATAAATGGGGGGGGGGAGAGTATCCTCTGGTGAGGATTACAAAAAAAAAAGATTGAATGAGCTTTTGGTGTGATATTGGGGCAACTTTCTGAGTGTTTTAGAGGAGTTATCATTCAGCTTAGCAGGCTTAATTGTCCTTTTGTTTCTGGCTGGTGAACTGTTGACCTGAAATAGCAGATTGGATGGGAAATGACAGCAGCAACTGATCTGAGGTGGGAGCTGGGATGGGTTTGTGAAGTGAATCCTACAGACCCTGAGTCTCCACTTAGCTCTTAGAATATCACCAAGATTTTGAATAGCCGTGTATGAAGATAAATGGAAACTTGGGACCTGAACAAAATGCAGTCTGACATAGTTGAAGACTATTGCTTGATATTTCAGACTTGTGTACATCGTATTTTTCCGCATTTGCCCGAATTGTGTAGGTGTTAACCTCATCGTTGCTCAGACATGTAAAATGTTCATGAATGGACAGTCTTCTCATGTTTTCTCTCAGGCTAGTATGAAGCTGGTACTGTCAATCAAAGTCCTTTACAGATCTGTTGCTGTGACACCAGCATATGCCGTGGGAGTGTATGTGTTAGGGAATGTGGTGTGTGTGTAGTATGTTGGTGTCTTCCTCACTTCTCACTGAGCACTCATACTGATAGGACAGCTCTTGCAACGGCAGTAGTTCCTGCAGCTTGAACTGAGTGAGTTTTGTCTGTTGTACATCAGTGAGGCAGTCGGCAATATACTGTTGGCTGCCTCCCCAGTATGTACTAGTATCCTGTAAAAGAGGCAACTTTCTTTTTTCTGTTTTGTTTGATTTTGTTAATCCTCACCCGAGGATATTTTTCCATTTATTTTTTTAAGATAGAGTGGACAGGACAGAGGGATAGAGAAAGAGAGAGAGAGAAAAAAAAATATTGATGTAAGAGAGACACATTGATTGGCTGCCTCCCACATGACCCTGACTGGGACCAGGGATCAAACCTACAACCCAGGTACGTGCCCTTGACCTAGAATCAAACGCAAGACCCTTTGGTCCGTGGGCTGGTGCTCTAACTGCTGAGCCAGCCAGCCAGGGCAAAAGAGGAAACTTTCTGATGATTTGTTTGACTGCTCAGGGTCAGGCTGGCATTGTAGCCATGGTGTTAGGATGCTGAGTGCTTGTTCTAGCCAAAGCAAGGGACTCTCAAGGCTAGTCTCCACCTTTGCCAAGTATCCCAATATTTTGGTGCCTTCCTTTCCCTCTCCTTTGGGTTGTCACTTTCTTGGCTTTCCAATTGTAGCTTCTGCTACAGGAGGCTGTCGGCACAGCATGGGTCAGTGCCGTGACTCCCTTTCCCGGCCCGTGAAGATGTGACCCTGCATACATGGTCATGTGCACAGATGCATCAAGTGGTCTGTTTGGGGATCAGGGCTTCCTGGCACTGAGGGAAGATTACACCATGACTTCGCCAGTGGTCAATGCAGCCTGCAGGTGCTCAAGGTACTCTTGTACAGGGAGCCCGCTCATGTTGTGGTTCCTTCTTGCCTCAGGTGGATAACAAGGGCCGGAATTTTCTTCACGTGGCAGTTCAGAACTCTGATATTGAAAGTGTCCTGTTCCTGATCAGCGTCCAGGCTAATGTGAATTCCAGAGTCCAGGATGCTTCCAAGTTGACCCCTTTGCACCTTGCCGTCCAAGCAGGCTCAGAGATTATTGTCCGCAATTTGGTAAGTGTTCCTGAAACATTATTGCATATAACGTAGACAAAGTATATCTCTCGTCATGGGTGTTCTCCAGTTACTGGGAAAGGCCAGTGTGAATTTGGAGAGTGAGCCACTACACTCAGAAGAGCAGATGTGTCAATGGGCAGCAGCAGGTCAAGTGCCCAGTGGGCTGTTGGGGCAGGCAGGTGCTGGAGTGAGGCCTTGAGAGGAAGCAGGGTTTGGGTGGTAGAGGCAGGGGGGAGCAGCTAGGAAAAGGAGATCCACTAATTTTGTTTGTCTGCTCTTTGGCACTCAACTGGCTCTTTCTCTCACACCTTTGTTTTTTTAATTGAGGTATAATTAGCATAAAACATTAGCTTCAGGTGTACAGCATAATCTATTATTACTTTTTTGTTAATTCTTACCAAGAATATTTTTTCTGTTGATTTTTTTTTTTTTTAAGAGGGAGAGAGAAACATCAATGGGAGAGAGACACATCAGTTGGTTCCCGCACATGCCCTGACCGCGGCCCGGGATGAGAATCGAACCTGTAACCCAGGCATGTGCCCTTGACCAAGAATGGGAATCTGAGCCTCAACCCTTCAATGTGCAGGCCGATGCTCTAACCATTGATCACACCAGCCAGTCATATTTTTCTGAATTAGTGTTTTATTTTCTTTGGATACATACCCAGAAGTGGAATTACTGTCATACGGTAGTTCTATTTTTAACTTTTTGAGGACCTTCCATACTGTTTCTTGCAGTGGCTGAACCAATTTTTACTTTCCCACCAACAGTGCATAAGGGTTCCCTTTCCTCTTCACACCCTCGCCAGTGCTATTATTTCTTGTCTTTTTGATAACTGTAATCCTAATAGGTGTAAGATGATATTTTATTGTGGTTTTGATTTGAATTTCTCAGATGATTAGTGATGTTGAGCTCCTTTCATGTACCCGATGAGCATCTGTATGTCTTTGGAAAAATGTCTGTTCAGTTTCTCTGCCCATTTTAATCCAATTGGGGTTTTTTGCTACTCTGTTATATGAGTTCTTTACATATTTTGGATAATAACCCGTATCAGATATGGGATTTGCATGTTTTCTTCCATTTAGTAGGTTGCCTTTTAATTTTGTTGATTTTCTTTGCTGTGCAGAAGCTGTTTTGTAGCCCTACTTGTTTATTTTTGCGCTTGTTGCCTTTGCTTTTGGAGTCAGATAAAAAAAATCATTGCCCAGACTGATGTCAAAGAGTTTACTGCATCTTAATTCGCAAAACCACCCAGAGGGGTGTAGGAATTCTGCCCCCTCCCAAGATTAATAGCTAGTTAGTAGTGTGGCTGGGATTTTAGCCAATTCTACTTGACTCCATAGCTTGCCCTTTCCAGTACGATATAATGCTCCCCAGGCAGGAGACAGGTCTAAGCAAAGATACAGAGACTGGAAAGTACGGTGCTATGTTTTAAGTAGAAAAGTTTCATCGGAATTTGAGTAGAGAGTAGGAGGTGTGGTTGGAGAAGCAGATAAAGACCAGGCTGTGGAGGGTCATATTTCAGATCAAGAACTGTAAGCAATCGATGTGTCTTTCTCACACTCATGTTTTCTCCCTCTCTCTTTCCCCCCGTTCACTCTCCTTTCCACTCTCCCTAAAAATAAATGGAAAAAATATCCTCAGATGAGGATTAATGAAATAAAACAAAAGAACCATGAGCATCCTCTATCCTTTCGGCAGTGGAGAAATCATTATAAGTATCTGAGCTGAGAGCATGGTTCAGAGCTGGGAGCTGGCAGTTGCTGGTGATTCCCCATGAACCAAGTCACTTGACTGGCATTTGGTGCCCTGCTTTTTTTTTTTTTTTAAATATGTTTTTATTGATTTTTTAAAGAGAGAGGATGGGAGATAGATAGAAACATCAATGTGAGAGAGAAACCGATCAGCTTCTTCCCACACGTCCCTCACTGGAGATCAAGCCTGAAACCCAGGCACGTGCTGAGCAGGAATTGAACTGGGACCTCCTAGTCTATGGGACAATGCTCAATCCACCAAGCCACGCTGGCCAGGTGCCTTGCCATTTTTGTTTTTGAAAAATACTTTCTAGAAAACCTTAATGACTTGCAATGTGTTAGAGCTGAGAGAGCATTTATCTTGGGGGTGAGATGCAAGGGTGTGGGGGCAGGGTCACCAGTGAAGAGCCTAGGGGAGGCAGTGGCTGTTAGAGACAGGCTGGAGAATGATTGAGGAGGTGGATTGGATGGATGCCAGGATAGACTGGATGAGGGGGTAACAGCTTAGGAGGCAGAAGCTGGTCTCACACTGGAATCCAGGCACATGTTCATCAGTCTGCCTACTACACTGAGAGCTTGGGAAGGTTTGAGGATTATCCTCATCAAGGTCACGTCTCTGCCTTGCTACGTCCAGAGCTCGCAGTGATAGGAGTAGAAATAGCTAATCTTCCAAACAAGGACCATCCAGTCCTCCCTCTGTGAATTGGTACAGCTTAATGTTAAAACCTGTTTGCACTGAAGAATGCCTTACCCAAACCTCTTCCCCTCCCCCAGTTAACCAGCCTTGGGGTTAGCTATGATTCCTGACACTTGTGACCATGAATACCCCTCTGTGCTGTGTCCAGTCTGGACCTATGAGTGACTCGGCTGGGCGCCCAGAGGTCTGGGGAGGCTGAGACTTGGAAGTCAGGGTCAGAAGCAGACAGCTAACCAGTGCCTAGCATTTCCCAGAGGCAGAGTGCCTGCACGCAGACAGAAACCAGGTGGCCCCAGCTGCAGGGGAGGCAAGTTGGGCTCTGACTGCAAACTACAGATTATTGTCTGTGAACGGCAGCTGTCTGTGAAACTTGGTCAGAAAGGGGATGATGAATGAATTTCAAATACTGAATGAATAGCTATTATTTAAAGTTCCTTCCTGCCTTTGATTCTATATTTTTTTGTTATTTTCTTTCTTTTATAAAATAATATAAAAATAGTACATGCTTATCCTGGCCAGTGTGGCTCAGTTGGTTGGAGTGTCATCCTGTGCACCAAAAGGGTTGCAAGTGTGATTTCCATTCAGGGCACATACCCAGGTTGCGGGTTTGATCCCCTGTTGGGGTGCATACAGGAGGCAACCAATTGATGTTTCTCTCCCTCCCTCTCTAAAAAATCCCCCCAAAATCTAGTACATGCTTATTATAAAAAATGTAAATCACATTAAGGATATAAAGCAGAAAGTATCTCTTTCATCCTCAATTCTCCTCTGAGTTTGGTACATATGCTTTTTAAACACCTTCAAAGTTTGTGTGTTTGTGTGTGAATGTGTCTACATTTCTCTGTCTTCAAGTGATTCACACTATTACACTGTCTCCTAATTTGCCTTTTTTTAAAAAATTCTCACCCGAAGATATTTTTCTATTTAACTTCAGATAGAAAGTAGGAGGGAGGGAGAAAGAGGAAGATGGAAGGAGAGAGAGAAACATTTATGTGAGAGGACACATCAACTGGTTGCCTCCCACACGACCCCAACCAGGGTCAGGGACAATCTGCACCTGAGGTACATGCCCTTGACCAGGAATCGAACCCATGACAGTTTGGTCCACGGGCCAATGCTCTAACCTCTGAGCCAAAGCGGCCAAGGCAGGAATGGTTTTTTAATGTTTTGATAATCATTGGTTTGCTCCTGGGACAAGTTTTGCTGACGTATGCCAGGAGTGTGTCCCCTTATGCTCCCACCTTTGCTAGCAGGGCAGAGTCTGTGGATGTTAGAGACAGGAAGGCTTGGCCCCCTTAAGTGAGACCTTGGTTGTTTACGGCAAAGAGGTTGCTCATGTAATCAACTTCAACAGCTTCTTGCAGGAGCCAAGGTGAATGAATTAACCAAGCATCGCCAGACCGCCCTCCATCTTGCTGCCCAGCAGGACCTGCCCACCATCTGCTCGGTCCTCTTGGAGAATGGAGTGGACTTTGCTGCTGTGGATGAGAATGGAAATAATGGTAACGCCCAACCCCACCCTTTGTCCAGTGCTGAGTGCCTTAAGCAGTCGCTCCACTCCAGGGGTGAAGGTACATTGCATCCTTGGGTTGCTCCTGCTCAGGGCAACTGGCTTTCATAGAGCAGAGCGGTGACAGGGAAGGCTCTGACCCAGGTGTCCCACATGCTGCTAACCAGGCCTGGGACAGCCCCAATCTGAATGGTAACCCTAGACGCCAAAAGTGGCTTCTTGTGAAACCATTAAATCTCATCTTTGGATAACTGGAAGCAGAAAGCAAAGTCTCATCAAGTTGCATTTATGACTCATTCTTGGGTGTGATGAAGACTGGAAGGGATGGCTCAGAGCAGATGGGGGCTGCTCTGACTGAGTCCCTTTTAGAGCAAAGCTTGTGAGGATGAGGAGCAGTCAAGATTCCCTCGTGTGCTTCTGGGCCTGCACAGTAAGAGCCTTTATTCTCTAGCTCTTCATCTTGCTGTCATGCACGGTCGGCTCAACAACATCCGGGTCCTCCTGACAGAGTGCAACGTGGACGCCGAAGCCTTTAACCTAAGGTGAGTGTGTATGGTCCAGTGCTCCATGAGCTTGGCCTGCCCCTCAGAGTTGGTGGTCACTGGCACCTCTCATTAGCCCCAGGTACACGTGCCAGAACTGGCCACTAGGGCACTTGACCAGCCTTCAGGACCCTGGAATTTTTCTTTTTGAAAATACTTTTTAGAAAAACTTTAATGACCTATTATGTGTTTTTTGATTTGTTCAGCATCACAGAATTCAGAAAATTCCATTTCTTTTGTGGATGATGGCTGTGGCAGATATTACCTAACTTTTCAACTTGTTTTATCAGAGGCCAGTCGCCACTGCACATTTTGGGACAATATGGCAAAGAGAATGCAGCAGCCATCTTTGATCTCTTCTTAGAGTGCATGCCTGAGTATCCTCTAGATAAACCAGATGCAGAAGGAAACACAGGTAGGTAATATGCTGTTTTCGTGTCCTGTCTTGCTTGTATTCCTTGCTTCCTGGAAAAACAAGAGCTCAGCACAGGTATCATTATTGAAGAGCTTTCAGCCAGGCTCTGGGCACCTGTCATGGTGTCTGCCATGGAATTTGGCAGTGTCTGACTTCAGGCACAGCACATACGATGTGTATCTAGCTCCAAAGCCATACTCCTGTCCAGACAGGCCTGCCCACCTGTTTTTGTTGCCCTCATCTACCTCTTATCCAAGCAACAAGGCTCCTCCTGAAGTTTCCAAATCCTAGGAGAGAAATAAAATATAACCACCTCACAGATGCTTCAGAAGGAGGAAGTGGACTATAGCATGTGTTGACATGCTTAGAACAGTGGCAAGTTATATACAAAGAAGGGCTGACATCTTACTGAGCAGGGTTGAAAAATAGGCTTCTCATGGTGTTGCTTTAGCTAGCCACAGTCACTATGTTAATTTGTGTAGCTTTCACAATTTTATATATATATATATATAATACACATATATATAAAATATATATATATATATATATATATATACATATATATACACTTTTACACTTATTTTCTTGTTGAAGATTACAACAACCCAGTAAGGTAAGCAGTACATAGAGTGTGTCCCCATTTTTCAAGTAAGGAAACAAAAATGAAACCCAAATCTCTTCTTCCCAGTGCGGGGCTCCCTGAGCACTCGGCTGCTGCATCCCAGCCATTTGCCCTCCTGCCAGACAGCCTCCACGGCCTCTGGCACAGAGCAGTCTTGAACCCTAGCACGGGACCAAATATTTGTCGTCAGTTCTTGGCCTTGGGAATAGTTCTTGGTCTTGATGCACAATGTGTTTTTTAAGCTGCGGTGATGAGCCTGAGCTTCAGAGGAGTCAGCCCTGGGAGTGAGCTGCTGGACCCAGCACATACTCCAGTGAGCACCATTTTCCAGGAGCAGGTAAACAGGCAGGCAGGCAGGCAGGCGCCGAGTTATGTACCAGACCTGGTTATGATACCTCGCTCTGCCATATTCTAGTGGGTGATTTCTGGAACATGTTCCCCACACAGACTTAGGTGTCTGATTCCTCCTCAGTTCTCTCGCAGCCAAAGCTCTGAATGGGCAGAAGTGTGTCTCTGGGGCTGGAGCTGCTCCGCGTCCCCTGGCTTACGGCTGGGTCCTTGATGGGAAGATGCTGCAGGTCCCCTGTGAAGTCTCACTAGAGCCACAGCACTCCTATGTATCAATGGGGACTGTCCTAACAGATGTCCTCCTAGGAGTCTGTCCTACCCTCAGCTGTCCTCTGCCAGCCCTTTGGCAGTGCCAGGCTGGGCTCGAGTGGGAAGTAGTTCTGCCTGTGGTTTTGTTTTCCAGTGCTGCTCTTAGCATACATGAAGGGGAATGCCAACTTGTGTCGTGCCATTGTCCGATCTGGGGCTCGCCTCGGGGTGAATAATAACCAAGGAGTCAACATCTTCAACTACCAGGTTGCCACCAAGCAGCTTCTCTTTAGACTGTTAGGTGAGTGGCCTACTTTCTGTTCTTTCACTGTAAGCAGCTACAGTGTAGATTATCTAGCTATATCGGTAAATTTAGATCTCGTACTGACTTGCTCCAAGTTCTGAACCAGTAGTTTTCCAGACAGCACACGGGACTTTTCCTATGAATGCCATAAAGGGCCTTGGAGCAATGGTGGGAGGGTCACTATCAGTGCCTGTGTTCAGAGTGCTCGTTGGGGGGGGGCCCTGTTGGTTTCCCACTTTCCCTGATGCTACCAGAACTCCATAAGCTTCAGGCAGGTCACCCTTCCCTTGGGTCCTGGCTACTCATCTGCACCTTCATCCTTCAGAGTAGCCTTCTGCTTTAGCCCCCTCACTGTTCTTTCTCTGTTTCCTTTTGTGAAGAGGAGCGCCACACTCTTGATTTCATATTCGCAAGTCTTTGCTCATCCGTCTGGGCTGCAGAGAATCAGAATGCCTCAAGTGCCTGCGTGTCACTGCACTGTCATCCCCCACCATGGACACAGAACAGGGATTGAGCCCCGTGGGTTAGCAGAGAAATGAGTTCAGAAATACTTAGTTGCTATGTGAATTTGATGTAGGTAACTTGCCCAGGTCACAAAGCTGATTGTAGCAGAGTGAGTGCTACATTGTTTCTGTGATATCTGGTCTGTTTGCATGCACTTGGTTGGCCTTTTGTGGCTCAGTAGTTGAGCGTCAACCCATGCACCAGTTTGATTCCTGGTCAGGACACATGCCCAGTATGGGTGTCTGATCCCCAGTGAGGGGCATGCAGGAGGGGGCCAGTTGATGTTCTCTCTCATCAATGTTTCTATCTCTCTCTTCCTCTTTCTCTCTCTCTCTCTCTGGAACCAATAAAGGAAAAAAAAATTTTTTTAAAAAAGACGTCAGAATAGCCCTGGCTGCTGTTGCTTAGCGGGTTGAGCATCGTCCCATGTACCAAAAGGTCACCAGTTCAGTTCCCAGTCAGGGCACATGTCTGGGTTGCTGGCTCGATTCCCAGTGGGGGATATGTGCACGAAGCAGCAGATTGATGTTTCTCTCTCATCACGGTTTCTCTTGCTCTTTCTCCCTCTTCCTCTCTAAAATCAATAAAAATGTATTTTTAAAAAAGAAATCAGAATTTGAGCCCACTGCAATGCCGGTGTGTAGAAGATGCTTGGTAATGACGGATATGTGCTATGTCCTCTGCTGTGTACAAAGCACTCAGAACAGTACCTGGCACACAGCCAGCATTCTACAAATAAATACTCATGATTGTTGCTATTATCTACACCGATAACTCTCAGTCAAAATGCCCCATAGCTTCCACAAACCAAAAACTGAATTCATCTGCTCTGGTTCTTTTTTTTTTAATCCTAACCCGAGGACATTTTTCCATTTTTTTTGTTCAGATAGAGTGGGAGGGAGAAAGAGGAGGACAGAGAGAGAGAGAGAGAAACATCAACGTGAAAGGGACACATTGAGTGGCTGCCACCGCACGACCAACCAGGGCCGGGGACAAACTGCAACCAAGGTACACACCCTTAGCGGGAACCGAACCCGGGTCTCCCTGGACCGCAGGCCGATGCTCTAACCGCTGAGCCAAAGTGGCCAGGGCTCTGGTTCTTTTTTTTAATTGATTTTTGGAGAGAGAGAACATCGACTGGCTACTTCCTGAATGCCTCCCACTGGGGATTGGACCCACAACCTGGGTATGTGCCCTGACCGGGAATTGAACCAGCGACCTCTTGGTGCATGGGTCAATGCTCGACCACTGAGCCACACCGGCCGGGCTGCTGTGGTTCTTTTATGTCTCATCTCTGTTGGTCATCCTACCACAGACTCAGTCACTCCATCTAGAAACCTAATCACCTTTATCTCCTTCCTACTCCCTGCTTCCTTCTCACTCCTCCTAATTCTTTTCACTCACCAAATCTTACAGATTCTGTGTCCTCAGTTTCTCTGGTCTTGGTTCCCTCCTCCCTGTTCCCCTTACCATGTGGTCTGTTTTTAGCTGGTGGTCTCTGCTTTCTCCTCACTGTGTCTTACACCCAGCCACGTATTTCCCCACAGACACTGCGGTTTCACCACCTCGATACTGTCTCCTTCTCCGCTAGTCTGTCTGGCAGATGCTGCTTCTCCATATTCTCTATGAAGCTTTCCCTGACCCAATTAGAGTGTACTGCTCCCTCCTGTCACTCTTCAGTGTGTTGCTTATATATATATATTTTAATTATGTTTTTATTGATCTTTTAGAGAGGAAGGGGGAGAGAGATAGAAACATCGATGTGAGAGGGAAACATGGATCGGCTGCCTCCTGCACGCCCCCACTGTAACCTGTGCATGTGCCCTGACCGGGAATCGAACCAGGACCTCTCAGTCCATGGGACGACACTCAGTCGACTGAGCCACACTGGCTGGGCAGTGTGTTGCTTATTTACTGTCTTGTTGCCTGCTCCTCCGTGAGCTCCGAGTGTTACCTGGCATAGCTGCTGTCTGATGGAGCTCATCTCCTGCCTGTGTTGCAGATATGCTGTCCAAGGAGCCTCCGTGGTGTGACGGCTCCAACTGCTACGAGTGCATGGCCAAGTTTGGAGTCACAACTCGCAAGCATCACTGGTGAGACCCCCCAGCACCACTGGCCAGAGGAGCAAGGGGACTTCTGCTATTGCCACTGCTTCTGCCTTTTTCCATAAGCCATGACCTTGCCAGGGCCCTGCACTCTCCTGGGCAATACGTAACCAAATGGAGTGATGAAATGGCAGGACTGTGTACCCCTGTGATGATGGGGGGAGGGAAGGGGGTGCTCAGACTGGTGGCTTTCCTGCTGCATGCTGGGGTTCACAGGTCCCAGGTAGGCGTCTTTCCCAGGCTCTCTGCTCGCAGCAAGGCTGAGCTGAGTTACTGCCCTCCTACAAGTGTGCTTCCCAGCAGGAGCACCCGCTGCTCTACCAAGAGTGGGGCTGGTCCCATGAAAACGAGACGGTTCTTTGGCTGTTGCTGAGTCTCTCTTGATCTTTAAAGAAAGAGTCTTCTCCAGAATCACTCTAACTTAACTATTGGCTAGAATTTGTTTTCATGGACGAAAAGTTATACGGGCATTGGTGGAATTTGGCTGGCAGTGTCGCTGCCCTGTGCTGGGAAGCAGGCAGCCTGCCCTTCAGTACCCCTCTCACACTTCCTTTCTTTGCTTCCACAGTCGTCACTGCGGACGTCTTCTTTGCCATAAATGTTCGACCAAGGAGATTCCCATTATAAAGTTTGATCTGAACAAGCCTGTGCGAGTCTGCAACATTTGCTTTGATGTGCTGACTTTGGGCGGGGTCTCTTAGTGAGCCCCTAGGAGGGTCCAGGCCACCTCCCCAGTCGGCTCCCCTGCAGCTGCTCTGCTCACCAGCCTGACCCCACCCAGAGCAGGAGCTGGCAATCGTCTTCCTGCGGCAATAGACTGGAACAGACAATTAAGGACCATGGTGTGATAGATCCCGTTTCAGGTGACTCTGTGATTGTCATGTGTCAGACTGTGACTGAATTCACTAGGTGTCTCACTCATTGGACCAGACCATTAGCCTAAGTGGTACATGTGATAGGAATTAGACCCCATTCTGCTACAACATATAAGAACACTTCTAAAGCCATTTTCCCTCCCAGTAGCCTAGTGTCCATCTCAGAGCGTTCGTGAAGCCTCCCTGCCTGGGCAGACTTACTGAAGTAGGGAGCTGGTGTCTAGCTGCTCTGAGGGCTGGCTTTGCTCCAGGGGAAGTGGCTTTGGACTTTACTGCAGTTTTTTCATAAAGATCATAGGATCCTCTTACCTTGAAGAATTTTTTTTTTTAAGCTAAGCTGTATTTATATTGAGCTACCCCTTTAAAAAAGGTGAAATCTTTCTAAACAGGGTTCAAAGATGAGAGCTGAAAAATTGTGGCCTTAACAACTGAAAGCTTTACCAGTATTCATGCTACTTGGGTGTCAGCAGTGCAGTTTGGCAGCTGGACACCTCCTGGCAGCCGTCTCCTCTCACCTTGCTGTGACCTGTCTTTGGAGTCCTCAGTCACTCTGCCACCAGGGAGTGGTGGAGGAAATGCACTTTTATTGTGCTGCACTTTTTATATAGCTGCATTATTGGTGATTGCAATGTAAAAACCCATATTCAAAAATACGTCCATGCATCAGTGATTCTAATGATCAGCTCTGACTGGACCTCAGTTCACACTAAGTCTTAAAGGAGAAACTTTTGCAGAGAATCATTTGGAGCAAGAGTCATATGGGCCAAGGGATGAGAAGTGGGGTCTCCAGCTTCAGGTGGGAGGTCCCATCTCCTTGACACGAGTGCTTCTTGCTGAAACCTTCCCTAGTTATGCTGTGAATGCTGTTGGTCCCAGCTCCCAGTTCTGTGTAGCTTGCTCTGCCCCAGAAGAGCCAACAGCTGAAGGCCCTGGCCAAACATGTGTGACCTGGTTTTGGAAGGCTCTGGCTTGGATGCTGAATGAGGCCCCAGACCTTATTGAGCCTTTGTCGCTGCTAGTACACATGTTAACCCTGAGGTGTTACACTTCTTTTTAAGGTTTGGCCAGTTTTTTTAACAGTGCACATTTAAAGAGAAACTTACCACTGCTTTAAAAAACAAAAAAACTCTGAGATGAACGATATATGTTGTACAGTGATACTCAGAGATTAACAATCTCAAATCATACATACTGATTTTTTTCATTTAATAGCCACTACATGTTTTCTGCATTAATGAAGTATGGATATATGTTTAAAAGGGACTAAATATTTTTTGCAACAGCCTGCTTTTTTATTTGTTTGTGTTTGGATAGTGGTTATGTCCTCGATGTTGCTGTAGATTTTTTCATTCTGTTGCCTAAATATGTGTGTAAAATGAGCTGATAAACCGGAGTGCTACTTTTTTTTACTATTTCTGTGATTTATACAATATATATGCTTTCTATGTTAATATGAGCTTGTGCACAATGTTTAAAAGAAAAATTAGAAGAGTTGGGGAACTAAAAGTCTGTGACATATTTCATATAGAATTTTTATAGAAAAACTAGTCTTGTCAAACATTGACCATGTGAGGCATGTGGTCAGTTTCCATTTTCTGTGGCCCGAAAGGCCCTCAAGGAAAGTAGGGCCTGGTTGATTGATTTTTTTTTTTTTTTAATTATAAAGTAAGATAGCTATGATTCAGATATGGATTGAGGTGGTTGGTACTTTTATACTTGTTCTTTTAACATTCGTGGTGGAGAGAGGAGGATGGGAATTCAATCAGGGATGAGGCTGCCCTACCATACCAATTTCAATAACAATCTTGCCTCTAATTGCACTTAAAATCATGTTTAAAATACGTTGAGTCTAGTAATAGCGATGGTACTGGGCAGCTGTGGATTAGGGGAACATTGGTGAGTTTCGCACTAGTGGTCTTGTAGACCTAGGAAAAACACCTTTCCACAGTCTTAGGAAATCTCCCTGACCATGCTGATGCTCACTGGGCTTCACTCTACAGGTCCCTTGAGTGGTGGCTGCCCTGGTGGGCTCGTCCCATACACTGCCCGGCTGGGACTTGACACCTCTTAGTCCCCTTTGTGCTCTCCAAGATGACAAGACTTGACTACAGAACTCTCTAGCTGTTCCTGTTAAGTTTTAATTTATAACTTAAATACTTGGAGCAAAAACTCAATTTTATTCATTCAGAAAGTTGCCCATTGTGAATGAGTAGAACAGGAAGAATAAACTTCATTGAAATATAATTTGCTGCATCAATCAACATTGTTTTGCGGAATTAGCTTTTTAGCTGCCTCTTGCTCATCACCGGATTTATTATACAGTGTATTTTTAACAGTTTTTTTTTTAAGATGAAGGTACAAACCATGTGCTGTATATAAATCCAATGCCTAAACTAACTTGCTCTGATCCTATAACACAGAAATTTCCCACAAACTTAAGTGCCTACACGTAGGACATTTTTCCAGTTATGTTTTTAGTGGTGTCTCACCAAATGATGTATTAGAACATGTGTTCAATTTGGAGTTTGTTGCCTGTGCACTGTCAACCCCAATGACCAGTTTAGTGGAGGCTGGATTAGATTGCCCAGTTCACCTGCCACTCTCTCTCCACGAGTGGGGTTCCTGTGACTGTTAGTCCTCTACCTCAGAGCCCTGAGTCATTTCTGACCACCCTGTTCAGCGTCCTCACTCTTCTCCCTGAGTGGGGTCCCTGCATGGAGCTCAGCGTGCGGTGGGATCACCACCACTCCCAGTTCATGTTCCCCACCTGTTGTATTGAACGGTGTTGTGCAAATCTTGTCTATAGGCATATAGTGGAGGGAAAGTCTTAGGAGGGGAGAGCCTTGATCTCCATCTAGGTTTCTTTAATCTGGAGAAAAAGAACACTGTTGAACTTCAGAATGTTTAGCTATGAAAGGCAAAATAACTCCCCAGGGACCACCTGAGCAAGTGAATATAACTTCCACGAATAGACCCACTTGGAGTTTCCAGGTTGAGGCTGTGAAGGAGCTCCTGCAACAAGCTTTGTTCTAGGCCCTGGGACTGCTTCCCTCAGGACAAGCCCCAGAAGCACTGGGCATTGCAAGCCCAGCCCCTCCTAATCCAAAGAAGCAAAGCTCCCCACTCCCAGCGGGGAGAGGAGGAAGCAGAGGGGACCCAACTTTCAAAAGAGGGTTGGAAGCCACATTTCCATTTTGTGGAAGTAATTTAGTGAAGAGCTAATTATTTGACAAGATATTAGCTTAACACTTATTCAATTCCCAGAAGTTGTCATAGATGCCTTAAAGACTTTTTTTTTTTTTTTGGAAGATCATTGCCTGTGTTTCTTTTTTGTATGGCATAAATAATATATTAACCTGTTAAAATTGACAACATTGGTTTTCTGTAGCTAGGAAGTCTCAGGTTGGCAGACTGCTTGACTATGGCTGTCCTTTTTTGGCAGATGTGTGGAGTTGGCTGTTACCAAGGGAGAGGGCAGTAACTGGGCAGAAACTGCAGGATCATGTTTGGGTTGATCACCTTGGCTTTCGAGCCGTTTGGGGTGGGACAATGGCATCATGTAGGACCATGGCACTTATCAGCATTGTTTCTTTGGAGTTCGTGTAATGGAATGTATTTTTCAAATATTGATATTTGCATTTTCTGTAACAATTCCTTATAATAAAATGAGGTAAAATTGTGCATTTAAAGTGGAAACTTTAATAAGACATTTGTAGTTACTTTTAATGCAGAAGTACCAATAAGCATTAAAAACAAATTTTTAAAATTCTTGACATCTGAATAAATTTCTTTAACAACTACCCTCTAGGAAAGTGAATTTCTAGCACTTTGCCGAAACACATGGTTGACAGCTGTCAAAAAGTAGCTATTTTAGGCCTAATGACCAGCTGCTTGGATTTACTGTGCTCTTGGCCCAGGCTTCAGCTCAGGGCGACGTGTGCGATCACAGCTGCGGTCTCAGTCAGCGGGCCCCACTGGAGCTCCTCAAGGACCTGGAAATGCCCTGACTCCGTTATTGAGGAGCAGCAGCAGAGGATCCACCTGTGACCTGCTGGTCTGGAGCTGAGGCGAGGGCTGGCACTCCACAGAATACAAAGGAAGGGTCGGGGGCTTGCAAATGGAATCTAGTGACTCATAAAGCTCCTGTACGAACTGCAAATCTAGCAGCTCACCTGGCCCTCCCATTCTTGAACTAAGGCAGCCCCTCTCTTTACGTGTCTTCCATTTTGCTTACCCCCAGTTCAGACCAGTTGCGGGAGATCTCATTCTCTGGTAGCTTCTCTCATAGTTAATAGGAACTGTTAAGGGCTCCCAAGTATCCCTAATAGCCATGCTTGAGGTGACCACTGGTCACATTATGTCACAATAGTGTGCATACAAATGAGCCAGGCATGCGTCGACTTTCACCCATTTTTGCCCAGCCGAGGAAGCGCATTGGGTTTTAGTTCTGCTTTTTTCATTGTTAACTGATAGTATTGGGCAGATTTTGTATTTCTGTGCCTTAGTGTCTGGGTCTGTAAAATGGAAATGAGCTTGGTCCTTTGTAGCTTAAGGGTTGTCTTGAGGAAGGTGGTCAGTAATGTCCTTCCTCTCGTGCAGGTACACAGATTCTGGTGTGCACAGTGATAGGAGTTTCCAGTGAAGCCGACAGGAGCAGTGTCTGCTGCCTACTTGCAGGAATCGGGGCTTCGGCAGTGGGAAGTGCTCTCAGGGTGGGAGTTCAGCCCAGGGTAATCCTCTGAGGGGGCACTGTGGGTTTTTGAACAGACCCAGCTCCCAGCCTGTCTGTGGGGTCTATCCATCAGAACACAGCTTGTCCTAGAGCTAAGCAAGCAAGGGATGGGGGTGATGGTCTGACATGACTCCCTTTGCTGTCCAGTCATGCAGAGGCTGTGACCAAAAACCCCAGCTCTTCACTCTTCATTCTATGTTAACAGAAAAGTGGAATCTCAGAGTTCAAAGGCAGATGTTAGCCCTTCCTTCAGCGTGTTGGAGGGCAGCCCCCTACCTTTGCTTTAATACTGCTTGGTGGTGTGGTAGAGGGAGCCGATTGGGTAAAAAACTCCTTCAGACCCAGTGTGGCTCAGTGCGCTGAGTGTCATACCATGGACTGAGAGGCCCTGGTTCGATTCCCAGTCAGGGCACATGCCTGGGTTGCAGTTTGGATCCCCTGTGAGGGGTGTGAATGAGGCACCCGATGGATGTTTCTCTCTCTCCTATCGATGTTTCTCTCTCTCTCTCTCTCTCTCTCTCTCTCTCTCTCTAGAAAATCATTAAAAACCCACAGTTCTGTCACATGATGACTGCTGTAACTGTTAGAAGGTGGGGACAGTGAGACACTTATGCCCCTTTTCTGGTCCATAAAATGAGGCCCTTTCAAGGCTGGCATGGAGATTAAATGAGAACAGATAAAGCTTCCTGCCCAGCATGTATTAGTTTTCTTCTCCATTTCCCTGCCAGCAAGTCTTAATTGCCTGAGCTGAACTTTCTGTGGCTTTCATCAGAGGGCCTGCCTTCCTCCTCCATGATCTTGCCCAGCACCACCTCTATCGGAGAGAAAAAGGAGAGGCACTTCTCCAGTAACCACTCTCTTCCGATGGCCAAGCCCTTCGAGCATTCAAATGACCAACCACCTGCTCTTGCTGGATCCTTTGACAATCCCCCTTCTGCCCCAAAATGAAGACGCTATTTACTGTAAAGTGATTGGCATCAGAGAGAAAATGCTCACTGAGCAAGAAAGCGAGCAGCCTGCTGAGGCTGGCTGAGTGCCCTGCACTGTGGATTCAGGGGTCTACATCTGGCAGAGATGAGGCAACTTCTAGTGCCTCCCAAGTCCACAGTTGTCTGGGAGAACTCCAAGGGTGCTTTGTTCTTGCTTCTTTCTTGGTTTGTTTCTGGAAGGGTCTGAACATCTCTGGACCTGGTCCCCACGCTGTCGCTGCGTTTCTCCCATACTGTGGGCTCCTTGAGGCCAGGAGCCTGGCTTTCCTCCCATCTTCCACCACAGCACACAGGTGCTTGATAAATATTCGCTGAATGACTAAGGATGACCAGAGCAGTGGCAGTGACTGGTTCCCAGCTGGCCTGGAGTCGAGGGCTGCTTCCAGCGAGGGATGCCCTGGGCACTGAGCTCAAGGGCTGTATGGACAGCAGAACGAGGTCCTGGTCTCGGCTCTGCTTGCTCCTGGGAGGGCGGAGACACACCAGACTATGAGGAGTGAAAACAGCACTGGGTCGGAACGAGAACCTTGAGTTCTAGGTTCAGCTCCACTGCTCCCTGCCCTTAAGTTTTTGGACCTTGGCTGCCTCGTCTCCCAAAGAGCTAACTGCCCACGTACCAGGTGCTCTAGGTACTGTGGATATAGGGACACAGAACCGAGTAACCCTTGTCCCTGCTCTCAAAGACTCTGCAGTCCGGTGTGAGGGGCTGACAGGAAATCCATGGTAACAGAATAGATTTGTTACCTGAGAAGTGAACACATGGAACCTATTTTAGGGCACCTAGGGGAAAGTGCATCGAAACCCAGTGGTGGGCCAGTGGTTAATGAACGCTCCCAAGAGGTGCTGGTTGAGCCGAGTTTTGAAGAGATAGAGGTGGACAGATTGAGCAGAGGAAGCGGCATCATTCCAGGTAGAAGGGACGGCCTGGGTGAAGTCACTGCAGGCACCATGCAGTGAAGTGGAGGCTGGAAGGGACGATGGACGTGGGGCTGTGGGAGGGATAGAGGCTGAGGGCAGACATCTTAGAAGAGCCTTGTGTGCCACTTTGCTGAAGAGTCAGCACTCGGTCCTTATAGACACAGAGAGCCACTGTGGAGGTTACATGGGGAACGCCCTGGTCATCGTGTGGAGGGCGGACCAGAGGCAGGGAGTGCAGTGAACGAGGTGAGAGATGGCAGCTTTGCCAGAGTACTGGGGATGGGTGAAGGAATGGGAGAGAGGGGGTGGAGGTGGAGTTGCCGGGACCTGGAGACGGGTTCAGAGGAGGGGAACAGGAGAGAAAGGAGTGTAGATGGTGATGGGACCATCACCAGGGGGAACTGGAGGGCCCATCAGGGAGAAGATGAAGAGTGAGTACCAGAAGCGTGGAGCTGAAGTGCCTACAGACTTGCTCAGGAAAGGCGTCTGGAGAGACATGGTAGCTGAGGCAGACATGAGAAGAGCTAGTGGGGAGGGGTCCATGGAGGAGAGGAGTCTTTCAAGGAGTGGGCCGTGGGATTTGCCAGTCCAGAATTCAGCCTGCTGTTGATCAGGGAAGGGCAGAAGCCGGGCGAATGGGGCCGAGGAGCAAAGGTAGCGAGTACCTGCGGCTCCTTCAGAATGCTTACCTGTGGCAGGAATAGATAAGGTGCCACAGAAGGATGTGGTATTGAGGAAGTGTTTTATTTATAATGCAAAGGAAGTGAGCTGTTCCACTGGGGCTTGGGTAAGAGCCAGGAGGCAGGGAGAGGCTAAAGGTGTAGGAAGGGCAGGTGAGGAAGATGCTGGGGTGGCAAAAGGAGTCAAGAGCAGAGTCCAGAATAAGGGATAGCTGTGGCCACCAGGGCAGTGAACCATGAGACTGCCGAGGTAGGCAGCGTCCATTTCATGGTCAGTAAGTCTGGACAGCATTTAGTGAGGTTAATGATAAGGGAGAAAAAGGGAGAATAGAAGTGTCTAAAACAGGGTGAGGGGGATGGGAAAGGAGTTGAGGTGAAGGCTCATGAGGAGAGACCATGAGTGCAACAGCCCCAGGCTTCGCCTCCTTATCTGTAAAGCAGAAACACTCCTGGCCTCCGGCTACTTAAGTTAAGAATCCAGGAGGTAATGGGTATGAAATATGTCAAGTGGAGATTACAGTGACCTGGACCCAACCCCCGGAAAAGCTGCATGCCTGCCACTCAAGTGGAAGCTCTTTGCATGGGCATTTGCAGCCTTGTGCACAGATGCACTAACCAATTATCTTGTTAGACCTCTGAAACTACCTTTGGCCAAAATGCAGAATCTCCCTTTGAAAACACACCACACCTACTTTTAAGTGTTGAAAGAGAAACAACTTCCTTGCTTTAAATTTAAAAAGGCATCTGGCCCTGGCAGGAGTGACTCAGTGGGTTGGGCTGCAGTCCGGTGCCCAGAAAGGTCACAGGTTTGATTCTCAGTCAGGTTTCCTGCTCAATCCCCGTCAGGGGGCGTGCAGGAGGCAGCTGGTCCATGTTTCACTCTTCTCTAAAAATCAGTAATAAAGGCATCTGGATTTGCTGCATCTATATGAGCAAAAGCTTTTCCAGTTTCCGGAGTTAGTCTACCCTCTTACACTGTCACCTCTCGTTGGATTGGCCCAGCTCATAGCAACTCAGTGCGGCTTTTCGTTGTAAATTCAAGTCTGCCTTAGGGGAGAGGTCTCACATAAAAGAAAGGTTATAAGTCAGGGGTAACAAATTTAGCCATCGGGGAACCTGGAAGAGTTATGTTGATGTTGTTCTTTTTTATTTTTTTTTTGGCTTTTCTGGATGTATCTTGTTTCTGAGTTTTGCCAGTGCCCCCGACCGGGCTGGCAGCTGATCTGGGCAGCCTGGGAACCCGTGGGAAGGAAGCTGTTGAGCTCAGAGCTCTTTGCTTGTCTGTACAAGTAGTTTTGAGTTGGTCATATTTGTGCCCACTTATATTTGAGGGCTCCGAAGGAAGATGGCAGGCACATCTAGGGGAATTGTGGCAAAAACAGGCTGGCCGTACTAGGCAGGCTGCCAAGCTCTGGCGCAGTCACGGGAAAGGTGAGCCCACGGTGAGGGATCATGGGTCACATTAGCAGAGGCCACCGCCCTTCCAGGCCCTCCTGTTTAATGTCAGGAGCCATCCTAGGGCACGTGAGTCAAGGACCTGTTAGGCTTCTCTGTGGCTTCTCAACATATAGTTTAGAGTGGGACGGAGCACGTCATGGCCAGAGGTGGGCAGCCTGCATATTCCTCCAAGCTGGGGTGGTCCAAGTCCCCATGATTTCTGTGTGTAGGGTTGTCTGGTGCTTGGTCACTAGGGGGACCAGTTGTTCTCACACACACACAGTGGGGCTCCTTGGCACCCGGCTTGTACAGCTTCCTGGGGACGCCAGTCCAGTCTCTGCTCACACCGCCACTGAAGAGAGAAGGAGAGGGGACGTCTTAGAGGCGTGAACTCGTGCGTCTGTCTGGGAGGGGAGAGGAGGAAGCAGCAAGTTGGGCCTGGTGAAAGCAGAAGTCATTCCACTTGCCATCATGATGCTTTCCCAAGGCGGTGGTCTGAATCTTTGTGCTCTCTCCTAACTCCCTCCAGCTCCCGCCCAGGCATCGTCCTTGCACTGCTCCCCGGCCGGCCCTGCCCTGTGCCTTCCCGAGGGGCAGCAGTCCCTGCGCTGCTAACACCTGCGAAAGGCTTTCCCCCACTGGCCTGTGAGCTGCTCAGAAGCAGTGTCCGGCTCCAGTTCTCTCCTCCCTTCCCCACGACATCCTAAAGCTGGGCTGTGTCTTGATCTTAGGGTCTTGGGCACTTGGGCAGGGGTGGACAACTGAGGCAACAACACAAGGCCTGATGGTCAGCCTCCGAGAGGCCCTTTCCTGCCCCTTGCACAGGCACAGTCTTTGATGTCACCTAGTCCAACATAGCCTGAGCAACCTCCGGTCCTGGGACCTAACTCATCTTCGGGTACTGCGTTTGGTCTTCCGTGGACTCACAAGCCTTGCAAAAGGAAAAGGAGATTCTTGGAATTGATGCCCGTGCAGGTTCTAGGGCTCGGGACCAGAATCACTTGCTGTCAGAGAAATCTGCCACCCAGTTGAAAACCAAGCCACCTGTAGCTTACCCAAGAGCAAGGCTGTCAGGGGAAGGGCTCTGAAATGCCTCCCTCCTTCCTTCCAACCATCCAGCCCATGGTCAGTGAACCTTACTCCACATCCAGTCCCTGCCTGCAGGACTCGCTTCTCCTAGCCTACAGGGAGACACGTACGTGTAGAAAACAACGAATCGGGTTGAGGACTAGGGATAGGGCCAACCTCTTGGAGTTGATCTGGGAGAGCTTATTGGGGAAGGCAGAGCCTAAGCAACTCAGCCATGGAAGCAAGAAGGGGTGACACAAGCACAGATGAGGGTTGTGGGGGACAGAGAGGAGGCAGGCTCTTCGAGGGAACAGAGTCAAGCATCTTAATGCACACCAGCCTCTGGCTCCCTCCCAGGGAGGCCCAGTGCTCTCAGAAGCCACCTGCATTCGGGATTGGGTCCCAGCGAGGCCCACCCCTGTCCTGGCTCCTCTCCCAAAAGGGGCAGGTCAGGTTCTCAGAGCGCCCCTCTTCCTGGAGACAACACTGGAGAAGCTTCCTCTTCAAAACTGGTGGCCAGGAGAGGGGCTTTCCTTCCTGCTACCTTCGCCCCTGCTCCCCTGAAGTAAGGTGGAGGAACTACGCGGTGGACATGGGGGCTGGACCTGGAGAAAGCTGCTGGCCCTGACCGCTCTCATCCCCACAAGGCATCGGCCTCAAGGAGAGCGAACGGCACGTGGCCTCCCCGGCAGAAGAGAGGGGTCCACCTAGCTCAGCACTCGGAGCGGCTTTCTCGCATAAGCAACGGCAGGACTCCCGGACCCTCCTCAGTGAGAGCTGGGCTCCTGCTTTGCGGCCCTGGAGGCTGGGGGTGTCCACTTTTGCCTTTCTGTTACCCTCTGTCAGAGCTAAAGGAGATTCGAAGGGCTTGAACTCTATTTGAATCCAGGCTGGCTTGCTGATTAAAGCAGGAAACACATTTTTTTCTCCACCTTCCCCAAATCAACCTGGGATAATCCCTGTGGCATCTGTTCTAATCTCGCTCACCCCAATTTCTTCTTGTAGGAAAAGATTTCTCCACCTAGCCCGTACTTTCTGGAATTACTCAGAACTTAGTGTTCTTAAGAGGCACCTCAGGGTATCACTGAGTGGCCACGCCCACCTCCTCACCCCTGACTCCTATAGGCAGGAATGATTTGTGCTGACACAACGGGCCCTTGGATGGATGAACAGGCCAAAGCAAGAAAACAGTACTTGTGCCTCCTTGTTCCCAGGCCAGGGGTTCTTCAGCAGGATCTTTGAGGAATTTAAAAAAAAAAAAAAAAGATGCCAAGACCTCAATCCTAATATTCTCATCCAGTTGCCTGGAGTGAGGTCCCAACATTGGTCATTTTGTTAAATTGCCCAGAAGATTCTAACATGTAGCCAAAAGCTGAGAATCACTATCCCAGAGCACACGTATTTTGCAAGAGTTCCCCTGGGTTAACAGTCGACGTAGCGCTTCCCGGAAGAGGATGCCTAGGACGGAGTGGGAGCAGCAGGGAAGCCTGCCTACCTCGTCTGGGAGCACCAGAACCGGCCGCCCCTTGCTGCGCTCCACTCCGCATTGCATGGTGGAAACTTCTGCTTCTCTTTCAGTTCCTGCTTGTTTGCCTCCAAGCCTTTGGTGATCATGGCTTCTACCTGGGTCAGTTCTGGGGTGGGTAGCCCATCCTCTCCGTAGAACCTTCCTATCACCCTTCCTGTGGGGACAGGAAAGCTGATGTCAGAAACAGGGAGGGAGGCATGAAGAGATGCTTAGCTTCTCCCACGGTGGTAGGAGCTTGGCTCCCAGGGTTTCTGATTTCAGGGCTCTACTGTAGCCTGCTGTGTGCTTATTTCTTAAAAAATATTGGAGCCCTGGCTGGTGTGGCTCAGCGGTTAGAGTGTCAGCCCTTTGACCAAAGGGTCTTGGGTTCGATTCAAGTCAAGGGCAGGTACCTGGGTTGCAGGTTTGATCTCCGGCCCTGGTCGGGGTTGTGCAGGAGGCAGCCAATTGATGTGTCTCTCTCACATTGATGTCTCTCTCTCTCTCCCTGCCTCCTTTCCACTCTCTAAAATTCAATGGAAAAATATCCTTAGATGAGGATTAACAACAACACAATTAGAAGGGAAAAAAAGCTCACTGGAGGGACTTGTGGCACCTTCTTTCCTGATGTCTCTCAACATCTTACAAGACTCCAGATAGAAGCATCCCTCTGATAGCTGTAGAGTCTTCTTGTGAGGAAATTATAAATGTCTCATTTCCAGACATCATTCCCTGAGAGTGGAACCAGGTGTGATTCCTTGTTCAATGCTCCAAAGTTTGAGGCACACAGTAGTTGGTGTTCAATAAATGTTTGACAAATAAGCAGCTTACTCTGTGATATTTCTGTGCTCAATTCTTCCCAACATTGGCTTATTTTGTCTTACATAACCATAAATAACTAAATTAGTGTCGGTGCTGTGCTAGCACTTCACTGATATTTCCTTAGCCCTCTAAGAGCCCTGTGGGGGGTAATCATTGCTCCCACATTCTCGCCTAAGAGACAGGGAGGGGTCTGACCCTAAGCACATGTCTCCCCTCCACCATCCTCTTCTTGCGCAGTCCCTCAGTGGACATATTGAGTAGAAACTGGTTTTAGTTTAAATTCCCTGTCAGGCCCTGGCCAGTTTGGCTCAGCAGTTAGAGCGCTGGCCCGCAGACAGAAGAGTTGCAGGTTCAATTCTGGTCAAGGGCACGTACCTGGGTTGCGGTTCGGTCCCCGGCCCCAGTTGGAGTTGTGCGGGAGGCAGCCACTCGATGTGTCTGTCTTGCATTGATATCTCTCTCTCTCTCTCTCTCTCTCTCCCCCTCCCCTCTATCTAAAGATAAATGGAAAAGTGTCCTTGGGTAAGGATAAAAAAAATTTAAAATCCCTGTCAGAATTTGTAAGTCAGAAGGGCTTAGGACCCTAGGCCCAGGCCTGCAGTCTGTAGGCTGGCCCGCCAGCAAGTGGTCAGAGAGCCTATAGGCCTAAGCCCAGAAGGGATCTGTTCCCCTTGGGTGCAAGAACTTTCATCCCCAAGTCCTGAGTGTAAGTGGCCTTCACAGCAGCCCCTGTCACAGGGAAGAGAAGCAGCAGAAAGTGCTTCTGGAAGGTTTGAACAGGTAGGAAGAGGGGGTACACCTTCCCAGCTGTCTGTCCACCCTCTGCAGTCCTTGAGAGCTGACTCAGATTCCAGCAGCACTTACTTTCAGTTGTCTAAGGTTCAGTTCATCTCTCAGGTTCACCTCCCTGTCCGGACTTTTCCCATTGTATTTATGTCACTTTGGGCTTTTGTTATGTGGACTAGGAGCCTGGGCTCTCTATGACACCTCCCCCTTCACATTCACACGTGTGCTTCCATTTGTTCATGTCTAATCCATTAGCAACTCTGTCTGTCGGCTCTTTTCCATTTCTATGGCTACCGCCCTGATCCAAACTGTGGATTTTAACAATAGCCTTCCAACAACTGGTGTCTCTCCTTCAGCTCATACATTCCCACAGTTCTTTCTCCACAAAGCAGGTAGGTGATCATTTTAAAAAGTGAATATCCTGTCACTTCCATGCCTGGTTTAACCCATTCAATGGCTTCCTAAAGCCTATGGATCAAATACAAAGGTCTTATCAAGGCACCCAAGACTCTACAGCCATCTGCCTTCTGTTTGCCTTCTGAACCTCCTCTCAAGCCATCCTGCCCTTATTTTACTGCAGGCTCCGGCCTCCTGGCCTCCTTCCGACTCCTTGACCGTGCTTAGCTGCTCCCCACTTCAGCACTGCTATTCCCTCGGCCTGAAATACTTTTTCCAGATCCCAGCATGGCTGGCTCCTTCTCACCTTCCAGGTCTCAGCTTAACTGTTAATCTCCTCCAACACACCTCCCTGACCATCCTCTCTAAAGGTGCCACACCCCCAAACATGCATCACATTCGTTTTATTTTATTCACAGCCCTATCTGGACTTGTTTGATCTGTTTACTTATTTATGATATCTTTCTGCCTACCTTGAGGCCCCAGCACTCAAAACAGCTCAGTACAGAGCATTCATTTTAAATGCTTGTTAGAATAAGCGAAGGGCTCAGGACCCTAGTCCCAGGCCCGCAGTCTAAGTTGGCCTGCCACAGAGGGTCTCTGTATGCATGGGGACAAGGCTGTCTTGGTGGCTTTTAGACATGAGACCCAAGGAGAGGGCAGTAGTGGTAGAGGCTACAGAGAAAGAGGTATAGCAGCTGCATCGTGAGAACAGTGGTCACCACTGGCTGGGTCAGTGCTATATCCAGAAAACAACTAAAGACATCTTCTCATTTTCCCCTGAAGCCTGGCCATGTGGCTGCCGAGATGGCTTCCTGACCGTCTCCACCTCAGTGTGCACCCATATAATACACCTTCATCCTCTGAGGTGTCTTGAGGGTTTCTGGTGCCCTGCAAGAGCCTAACACAACGCCCCTCCTATAGGAGGAGCTAACAGAGGGCAGGAACTGCATGCAGCTCATCCCTGTCCCCATGAGGAGCAGAACCATAGTTCCATAGTAGAGATCCTAATATATCCCGACTTCACTAAAACCATTCTGAAGCATTTCCAACCATGACCTCCTCCCCTCCCCGCACACATTAACACTGTTCAAACAAGACTAGTTCACTTATCTCACCAAACATCAGTTTGTTCCCCAAACACCAGTATGACACGTTTGGTTTGACATCCATTGCCTACTCATGGGACTCCATCCTTACTCTTTCGTGTTGGGTTTTCTTTTCCTTAGAAGCCCAGTAATGTTTCAACCTTGGTTTGCCAATCTGATGGGGGAAAGGGAGCACCAAGCCTTCTGAAAGGCATATGGATAGAGGCCAGTTCCTTCAATGGCAGACATGATTGTGGTCTGGGGCAGACAGTGAAAACAAAGAACAGGTTGGGAGGAGGAAGGGGATAAAAACTGAACTTTAGATGTTATGAAAAAAGCCTTGGCCAGCTGGATGTGGAGGGAGCAGAGAAGTTAGTGAAAATGGCAAGGTTCTCAGAAAAGGTAATGCAAGTGGTAATGACAGAGCAGTCAGTCATTCAGAGGCATGTGGGGCAGAGAGGGAACTCCTCCCATTTAGACCTGTTCCAAAGGTGAGAGGATCTGATGTCACTGATGTTCCCCAGGAAGTCAGCTCTTTCCAAGTGGGTCTCCAGGGGGAGGTTGGAGCTGCAATAAATGGAAAAAGGGCTCCAACCATCCCAGTTTCTGTGACTAACATTTCTTTAGGACACTGTTAGGTGTCCCCTCCTGTCCCACCTGTAAGGAGCAAGTGCAGTGCCCTACACAACTGGCTTTAACAAATGTTCGATTAGCATAACTTCCACCTGGGACCCAGTTCATTCAGGATGGACACAAGCTAATGTTTGTCTCCTTAGAGGATAAAAAAAAAAGGATATTTGTCATAACTGCCACAAACCTAGGCCTCAAGCCTTCCTGACTGTGCTGAAGCCAGATGCCTGGAACACAAGAGAGACAGGAAAGCTGCCCTCCTGGAGCTGGTTGTTCAAGGGTGGTGCAGGCAACCACTGGCTTTGGGGCAACAGAGGCCAAAGTGAATGGGCAGGTAATCCTCTCCCAAGATTAGGAACAGGTGCCCCAACCATTTCCTTCTGGGCCTCACTGCCACACTAACAACCAGAGTTTCGGGTTTTAACCTTGAGTCCAAGCCCCAAAGGATTCTAGTCCCTTAAAAAAAAATTGCAAGAAAACTAATGAAATCTTTGGAAATGGTCTGTGGAATACCTACCAGCAAATTCATAATTGTTCTCATAGAATGATAGCCAATTTTGAAGTGTCAGCATCTCAGAAAATGACAAGTCAGATACATCATCCACAAGGCCTGCTTCAGAATAGTCCCCAGTCACAAACGCTCTGGATGCGTCTCGGCCTGCAGGAGAGATATTTCCAGTCGATTAACAGGAATCACTGACACCACAGCAACTTAAGAATCTATTTTCTGAGAAACAGCTGAAAACCCCGCTCTCCACCCCCAAACAAACATAACCCCCCTCCTCTGTCATAGATGCTTGTGGGCCCACGTTTTGGCATCTATCATATTCTTTCATTTACTTTTAGCAACATTTAATACAGCTGACCATGTCCCTTGGCTTCCATGACACTACATATACTCCTGGTTTCTCTCCTACTTCTCTAGCTCATTTTCTACCAGACTCAGAGATCAGTTATTGTCCACCTCCTCTATTCCTGCCACACCCTCCACCTGACAACAGCATTCACTCCCGTGGATTCAAATACCACCTCTACACCAAAGATTGCCAAATTTGTATCTTTAGCTCAGGCTTCTCCTGAGCTCCAGACCTGAATATCCAGTTGTCCACTCAGCATCATTTACATGTCTTACAGACATCACAGAAAGTTCCACACTGAACTAATGGTCATTAGCACTCCCAGCCCTAGGAAACATGTATCTATTCTAGTATTCCCTGTCTCAGTCAATATCAACCAGTTGCTCAATCCACAGATGCGTCCTTGACAACTACTTCGTCCTTCACATCCATTCAGTCCCCAAGTCCCATGATTTCTTCCTTAATAGTTCTTGTCTCAATCTACCTTTCTCCATCTACCACTACACAAACCCAGGCTGTCATCATTTTTCATCTGAACCACTACAATCAATCCCTAGCAGTTCATTCTATATTCATTCTTTCCCCACTAATGTATTTTCCAAACAACACTTACATTGATTATTTTAAACACAAATTGATCAAGTCATTCTCTCTCTCTCTCTGTGTGTGTGTGTGTGTGTGTGTGTGGTGAGAGCACCTGAAATCTACACTTAGAAAATTTCCAGTATTCAAAACAAAACAACTATAGTCTACAACTTTGTATCAGAATAAAACTATTTGCCCTGGCCGGTTTGGCTCAGCGGTTAGAGCGTCAGCCTGCGGTCCCGAGAGACCCGGGTTCGGTTCCCGCTAAGGGCACGTACCTCGGTTGCAGTGTGTCCCCGGCCCTGGTTGGGTTGTGCGGGTGGCAACTACTCGGTGTGTCCCTTTCATGTTGATGTTTCTCTCTCTCTCTCTCTCTCCCACTCTATCTGAACAAAATATCAAAAAAAAAATGTCCTTGGGTGAGGATACAAAAAAAAAAAAAGAATAAAACTATTTTATTTTTTTAAATCCTCACCTGAGGACATTTTCATTGACTTTAGAGAGGGGCAAGAAAAGAAAAACATTGACATAAGAGAGCCTCTGGCATGCACCCTGACCAGGGCTGGGGTTCAAACCTCTAACCTAGGTATGTGTCCTGACTGAGAATCAAACCTGCGACCTTCCAGTATACGGGAGGAAGCTCCTCCAACTGAGCCACACCGGCCAGGGCAATCAAGTCATTCTCTTGTTTAAAAATTCTCAGTGGCTTCCTTTTGCCCTATGATAATGTCAAAATTCCATAACATACCATTCAGAACCCTGCACCAGCTGCCACCAACCTTGCCTTGCCTCTGTGCTCCCTGGTAACAGCAGTATGTTTCCTTTTAACAGTCATCACAAAAATAATTCATTGTTTATGTGACACCTATTGAATGTCTTTTCTGCTAGTCTGCAAGTTTTTTTTGTTTGTTTGTTAATCTTTATTCAAGAATGTTTTTTCATTGATTTTTTTTTTTTTTTTTAAGATAAGAGTGGAAGGGAAGGAGGGAGGGAGAGAGAGAGAGACAAACATCGATGTGAGATCAAACCTGCAACCAAGGTGCATGCCCTTGACCAGGAATCAAACCTGAACCCTTTGGTCCATGAGCCAATGCTCTAACCATTGATTAAAACTGGCCAGGGCTAGTCTGCAAGTTTTATAAGGGAAACACCGAACTCCTTTAGTATCGATTACTCAGTGTTTGGTAATGCTTGTTCTTTAGTAAATTCTCCGTAAGTATTGACTGAATGAAATCTAATTGACTTTCAAAAAGAATGTCAAGACAATCAAAGAGGGAAAGAATAGTCTTTTTAACAAGTGGTCCTTGAACAATTGAATAGCCACATGCACAAGAATGAAATTAGATCCTTCCTCATACCATATATAAAATCAACTCAAAATAGATCAGTGATCTGAATATGTGAACTAAAACTATAAAACTCTTAGAAGAAAACATAGGTGTAAGTCTTTATGACCTTGGATTAGGCAGTAGTTTCTTAGGACATCAAAAGCACAAGCAACCAAAGAAAAAAATTAATTGAACCTGGTCAAAATTTTTTATATTTTGTGCTTTAAAGGACACTATCAAGAAAGAAAAGCCAGCCTATAGAATGGAAACAAATATTTGCAAATGATATATCAGTATCCAAAATATATAAAGAATCAACAATAAGAAGACAAACCCAATTAAAAAATGGGCAAAGAATTGAATAGACATTTCTCCAGGGAGGATATACAAATGATCAACAAGCACATGAAAAGACCACAACATCATTAGTTATTAGGGAAATGCAAATAATTAAAACCACAATGAGATACCATTTCAAACCCACTCAACCGACTATAATCAGAAAGACCAAAAAAATAAAAAATAATAAAAATAAGACAGCCAATAACAAGTTTGGTGAGGATGTGGAGAAACAAACTCTATTGCATTGATGGTGGGAATGGACAATAGTACAGCCACTTTAGAAAACAATTTGGAAGTTTCTCAAAAAGCTAAACATAAGTTACCTGGCAATTCCACTCCTAGGTAAATACCCAAGAGAACTGAAAAAAATGCCCACACAAAAACTTGCACATAAATGTTTATAGCAGCATTATATATAATAGACAAAAGTGGAGACAACCCAAATTCTAACAAATGATGAATAAACAAAAGTGGTATATCTATACAATGGAATATTATCTGGCAATAAAAAGGAATGGTACTGATACACCATGAATGAACCCTGAAAACATTATGCTAAGTGAAATTAAGCCAGTCACAAAAGGCCACATGTGTGGCTCCATTTATATGAAATGCCCAGAACAGGCAAATCTTTAGAGACAGAAAAGTAGGTAGTGGTGTCAGGGGATGGGGGATAGATGTGAATGGGGTGTGATTGCTAATGGACATGGGTTTCTTTTTTGAGGGGCGGGGTAATAAAAATGTTCAGGAAGTAGATAGTGGTGATATTTGCACAACTTTCTCACTATATTAGAAACCACTGAATTATACATGTTTAAAGGGGTGGGTTTTATATTACGTGAATTATATCTTAATAAAAAGTAATAAAAATATTGACTGAATGAACAAATGAATAAATGAACCTAATAAATCTGCTTCTCTACTAGACTGTGGGTGATGGGGAACATTTTATAACCTTTGATTCTTCAGCACCTGGCACAAGGCAGGCTACATGGTAGTGGTCAATATGTTGAATGAATAACAGGCACAAAGGAACTCACTAGACAGCAGAGCACATTGCAAAAGAAATATCACCCCAGAAATGGAGGGTTGTTTTTTTTTTTTTATCCTCACCCAAGGACATTTTTCCATTTTTTGTTCAGATAGAGCGGGAGGGAGAGAGAGGGAGAGAGAGAGAGAGAAACATCAATGTGAAGGGACACATGGAGTGGCTGCCACCCGCACGACCAACCAGGGCCGGGGACAAACTGCAACCGAGGTACATGCCCTTAGCGGGAACCGAACCCGGGTCTCTCTGGACCGCAGGCCAACGCTCCAACCGCTGAGCCAAACCGGCCAAGGCTGAAATGGAGGGTTTTATGCTCACACTTGTGGATATAGCCTTTAACAGCTGCATCAGGGTGAGGCAGGACAGTGTACCAAAAAAGTGTCCTCTCCTGGCAGGTAAAATAAAAACCTCGATTCCAGTCCCAGCTCCATTTCTAACTCACTGTGTAAGTCCCTTCCCTTGCTAAACCGAGGAGCCCGGTAACACCAACTGAACTTAATTCCTTTTCTGTCTATGCTTCTATTTCTTAAGTTCTCCCTAGAGACAGGGAAGTGACTTGCATTTAAGTAACAGAGGCAGCTTCCCAATGAATGACAAGTGGAAAATGCTTATTTAATATCAGCCTTAAGCTTGCTCTGCATTTTTTTTCTCTTTAAATCTGATAGAAGGTCATTCCTCTGGGCTAGTAAGGCAACATCTCTAAAAGTGATAAGCTGCCCTGGCCGGTTTGGCTCAGCAGTTAGAGCGTCGGCCTGCGGTCCGGAGAGACCCGGGTTCGGTTCCCGCTAAGGGCATGTACCTCGGTTGCAGTTTGTCCCCGGCCCTGGTTGGTCATGCGAGTGGCAGCCACTCGATGTGTCCCTTCACGTCGATGTTTCCCTCTCTCTCTCTTCCTCTCTCTCCCTCCCACTCTGTCTGTACAAAACATGGAAAAATGTCCTCGGATGAGGATTAAAAAAAAATAATAATAAAATAAAAGTGATAAGCTGGTGGTCTTAGTCCAAGTCCTATTAGTACTTAGTTGTGAGGGCTTTAGGCAAATTACATCCTTTAATTCCCTCAGCTGTAAAATAGGGTCAGCAAGTCTGGCCAGTGTGAACTGAGCATCGTCCCATGGACTGAGAGATCCTGGTTCAATTCCAGGTCTGGGCCCTGGCCGGTTTGGCTCAGCGGTTAGAGCGTCGGCCTGCGGTCCGGAGAGACCCGGGTTCGGTTCCCGCTAAGGGCACGTACTTCGGTTGCAGTTTGTTCCCGGCCCTGGTTGGTCGTGCGGGTGGCAGCCACTCGATGTGTCCCTTCACGTCGATGTTTCTCACTCTCTCTCCCTTCCTCTCTCTCCCTCCCATTCTATCTGTACAAAAAATGGAAAAATATCCTCGGGTGAGGATAAAAAAAAAAAAAAAATTCCAGGTCTGGGCACATGCTGGGGGTTTCAGGCTGGATCCCTAGTGGGGGGTGTGCAGGAGGCAGCCCATCTCTCTCATATCTATGTTTCTACCTCTCTACCTTCCTATCTGTCTAAAAAAAATCAATAAAAACATATTTAAGATACGGTCAGCAGAACAAACTTAATTTGACAAGTGTTCATTGAGGCCTAACATATGCACAGGTTTAAGTACTGAAGGACTGTAAAGGTGACCAGACTCCTTCCCTGTGCTCTAACTTCATATTTTATTTATTTTTTTATCCTCACCCGAGGACATTTTTTCATTTTTTGTTCAGTTAGAGTGGGAAGGAGAGAGAGGAAGAGAGACAGAGAAACATCAACGTGAAAGGGACACGTCGAGTGGCTGCCACTCGCACGACCCAACCAGGGCCGGGGACAAACTGCAACCGAGGTACATGCCCTTAGCGGGAACCGAACCCGGGTCTCTCTGGACCGCAGGCCAACGCTCTAACTGCTGAGCCAAACCGGCCAGGGCTATTTTTTATTTTATTTTTTATTTTTGTTTTTCCTTTATTGATTTGAGAGAGAGCGGAAGGGAGAGGGAGAGATAGAAACATCGATGAGAGAGAATATCGATTGGCCCCTCCTGCATGCCCCCACTGGGGGTTGGGCCCACAACCTGCGCATATGCTCTGACCAGGAATTGAACCGTCGACCTTCTGGTGCATGGGTTGAAGCTCAACCTCTGAGCCACACCGGCCAGGCAAACCTCATAATTTTTTTAAAGAAAGGCCAACAAGTTCATCTGTACTAAAAGCAAGAACCACTCAAACCAACTAAACTATTTTAGGGGGAAACTTGGATCCAGACATACATTGAAGAGATGACTGGAATCAGTAGGGGAACTCTTGAAGGTAGGGGCAGGGTCTCCTTCACCTCTGTGCCCTGAGAGCCACATAGTGTGGCACAAAGCAGGTATCTATCCGAGGGCTTCTGCCAGTGAGTAATGGGTAACTAACATGAGGCAGAAGACACGTTTCTCCACGGTAAGTTAGAAAGACCGATGGGAAACGACAGGGAGAAGAGAGGCCGGTAACTGCTGGCTACAGTCAAGCCTGGCCAGAGAGAGGAGGAGGACGACGCGGCTGAGCCCGGCCCCCACGCTGGTCTGATGAGTATGTGAAGAAATACAGCAGATGAACAAATGAATGAACGCCGTGCAGGCGGCGACGCGCCCGCGCGGAGCATGAAAGGGCGTGAGTCGCCTCGCTAATACCTGCGAAGCAGCTATAGTGAGCCCCAGGCTCGTAATGCCTCCGGCCAGAGGACACATCGTAGACGCGGCCCAGCAAAGCCAAGTAGAGGCCTGGGTCCCCAGGGCCGCCGCGGTAGCGGGCCAGCTCCTCGGGTATGAAGAGGCGAAAGCCAGCGCGGGGACTCCACCAGCCCATCAGCCGCGCTGCCATCACCGCCGCCGCCGCCGCGGCCAGGCCCAGCAGGAGCCCGCGCCCGCCGGGCAGCGGCATCCGCCCGCCGCAAGCCGTCCGCTCCTCCGAGGCTGTCGCCTCTCCGCCCACAACTAAGATGGCAGAGACGCTGGCCGCGACGTCACCGGCGCTATGCTCTCTCTGGTCCGCCGGTCACTAAGGGGACACGGAGGGCTGCATGGTAAAAAAGTCTGGATAAAGCTCACTCCCCGGCTCCGCCTTTTTCTGGTGCGTTTTCAGCACAGCTAGTGAATGTGGAGACCGAGGAACCGAGCAGCGAAGAGGCCCCCTTTGGCTCGCAGGTTGTCCGCCCCAACAAAGGTGCTGGCAAGGAGGCCGCGGGGTGACACAGACAGTATGACAGCCGCGCCTTCCCCTTACTCGGAGTTCACCCTTGCAGACACTGTCCTCAGCGCGCTGTCTCACGACAGCAAGTAGAGATCGCTTGACGGCGCTTTAGCGACAGCAGTCCTCGCTTGACGGCGAGGAAGCCGGAAGCCGCCGCCGCCGCCGTCGTCCCCTCCCCGTCCCCGCCCGCCGGGTACAGTCTGAGGTTGACAGGTCGAGGCGGGGAGGCGGCGGCGGCGGCGGTGACAGAGCCGGGTGCCCGAGACGGAGACCCCATGGGGAACGCTCCGAGTCACAGCAGTGAAGACGAAGCGGCAGCCGCCGGGGGCGAGAGCTGGGGCCCGCATCATGACTGGGCCGCGGACTCCGGCATGACACCCGGCCCGGGCCCTGCCGCACCGGCGCTGCCGCCGGCCCCGGCGCTGCTGGAGCCGGCCCGGCTGCGAGAGGCGGCGGCTGCGCTGCGGCCCTCGCCGCCCTGCGAGTCTCTGGTGTCCAGGCACCACGGAGCACTGCTGCGCTGGCTGGAAGAGCGGCTGGGCCGCGGCGAAGAGTCCGTCACCCTGGAGCAGTTCCGGGAACTGCTGGAGGCTCGCGGCGCCGGCTGCTCGGGCGAGCAGTTCGAAGAGGTTAGGGCGGGCTGGCGACTGCGGGACGGGGGCGGGGGCGGGGGCGGGGCGCTCGCCCCCTAGGGCTTGAAGGGGTGGGCGTAGGCTTTGGGGAGGCCAGGCGGGAACCCGAAGGGTGGGCAGGGTCGGAGAATGGAAGCAGGGGGAGTGCGGAACTTGCACGAGGTGCTTCCAGCCTGTTCAGGACTGGAGACGGCTACCGATTTCTTCAGCCTTTACTACAAATGTAGAAAGGCTAGACCAGGCGGTCCTTGTCCTGAAGAACTGAACAAGACCCGATGTCTTTGCATTTTGTTCTAATACAGACATTTGTGCAGTTGCCAGACGCTGGATCAACTGCTCTCTGGAGTTTTCTGTTAGGCTCCGGAACAGTGAAAGGAAAAGGAGGTGTAGTGATCAAGGGAATGCCAGTGGAAACCATTCTGTTTTATTGGCCAGTGGGGTTTCACAGAGCACCTTGTGAGTCCAGTGTGGGCGCCTAACAAAGATGGGAGAAGAACATACACTGGAAAAACACATTCTAAAAGCCAGTCTCATCAGGCAAAAACTAGCATTTCTAAATACACATTTATTTTTAGATCTTTGCAGAGCCTTATTTTAGATTAAACCTTCATAGTACCTAAAATGTATAGGCAAATGCCAGGTTTCCTGTGTACTTGTAATTCTACAGTTTTTGGCATAATCACGAAGATCATCGCTATTAAATCATTAACAGCAAGTTGATATGACAACAAAACATTTTCCTTGGAAGGGATCTAAGGAATTGTCTGTATTGAACACTTCATTTTAGAGTTAAGAACAGAACCTGGGTTGTTACTAACAGAGAACTGATCCAGGGTCACCCAGTAAATCATTGGCAAAACTGAGACTGTCACTCATATTTCTTGATTTTTGTATGTCTTATCTCCACTACCTCCTTCCTGGGACCCTCATTATTTAACTCCACAATGTTATAACAAAAAGGTGCTTAAATTTTGAAAATGAGTAAGCCATGTAGACTCGTCGAAGAAGGGTGAGTACATACAGCAGTGAGTTGACAGCTACTTGTAACGCCATAAAAAAGTGATGCACACTTTAAAACCAGAGGCTTGTAAAATATTTTAAGAATGTTTTCCTTTACATGGCAAGAATTCAGACCTGAAATGTTGAAAATGTTGGTCATATGAGTGAAGGGTCTCCATTTTAAAAAAATTTAATTATAGTTTACATTCAGTATTATTTTGTATTCAGGTGTACAGCATAGTGGTTAGACAGCCATATACTTAACAAAATGTTCTCTGTGATATTTCAAATACCGACCTGGCACCATACATAATCATTACGATGTTATTGACTATATTCCCTGTGCTGTACTTTACATATCCATGACTGTTCTGTACTACCAGTTTGTACTTCTTAATCCCTTCACCTTTTTCCCCCAGTCCTCCATTCCCCCTTCCCTCTGGCAACCATCAGTCTGTTTTCTGTATCTATGGGTCTCTTTCAGTTTTGTGTTTTCGTTTATTCTGTTCTTTAGATTTCACATGTAAATAATATCATATGGTATTTGTCTTTCTCTGATTGACTTATTTCACTTAGCATAATATCCTCTAGGTCTCTCCATGCTGTCACAAATGGTAAGATTTTATTCTTTTTTTGTTGTTAATCCTCACCTGAGGATTTTTCCCATTGATTTTTAGAAAGAGTAGAAAGGAGGGAGAGAGGGAGAGAAACACTGATGTGAGAGAGACACATTGCAGGACCAAGAATTGAACCTGCAACCCAAGCACGTGCCCTTGACCGGGAATTGAACCCAAGACCCCTTGGTCCACAGGCTGATGCTCTAACCTCTGAGCCAAACCAGCCAGGGCATGATTTCCTTCCTTTTTATGGTCAAGTAATATTTCATTATGTATATGTAGCACAGCTTTTTTATCTACTCGTCTGTTGATGGGCACTTGGGTTGCTTCCATATCTAGGCTTTGTAAATAACATAATGCTGCAGTAAACATAGGGGTGCATATATTCTTTCAAATTACCGTTTTTGGTTTCTTTGGATATACACTCAAAAGTTCAGTTGCTGGCCCTGGCCAGTTTGGCTCAGCGGTTAGAGCATCTGTCTGTGGTCCAGAGAGACCTGGGTTTGGTTCCCGTTAAGGGCACGTACCTCGGTTGCAGTTTGTCCCCTGCCCTGGTTGGGTCGCGTGGGTGGCAACAACTCAATGTGTCCCTTTCACGTCGACATCTCTCTCTCTCTCTCTCTCTCTCTCTCTCTCTCTCTCTCTCTCCCCCCTTCTCCCTCTCCCTCTCTCCCTCTCCCTCCCTCCCTCTCTCCCACTCTATCTGAACAAAAAATGTCTTCAGGTGAGGATAAAAAAAAGGTCAATTGCTGGATCATAAGGCAGTTTCATTTTAAATTTTTTTAGGAACCTGCATATTGTTTTCTATAGTGGCTGTGCTAATCTGCATTCCCACCAACAATGCACAAGGGTTCCATTTTCTCCACATCCTTGCCAACACTTGTTATTTGTTGATTTATTGATGATACTGTTATGACAGGTGTGAGGTGATATCTCATTGTGGTTTTAATTTGCATTTCTGTGATGATTAGTGACCTTGAGCATCTTTTCATATGTCTGTTGGCGATCTTTATGTCTTCTTTGGAGAAGTGTCTATTTAGTTCCTTTGCCCATTTTTTAATTCTTATGTATGGTGTAAGTTGGTGCTCTAGTTTCATTTTTTGCATGTTTCTGTCCAATTTTCCCAGCACAATTTATTGAATTGACTATTTTTATCCCGTTGTATGTTCTTGCCTCTTTTGTTAAATATTGACCATATAGGGGTGGGTTTGTTTTGGGGCTCTCTATTCTGTTCCATTGATCTATAGTGTTTTTATGCCAGTACCAAGCTATTTTGATTACAATGGCCTTGTAGTATGGTTTGACATCAGGTAGTGTGATACCTTTAACTTTGTTCTTCTTTCTCAAGATTGCTATTCTATTTTTTAAAGTTCCAAGAATATCCATAATACTAGTCCTAGGTATATTATGAGAAAAATGAAGCCGTGCCAAAAATAGCTGTGTGGATCTGTTGAAGGAGTTAGCACATTTCAGAATTGTCCAAAAGAAAATGTAGAGAAACGGTGCTTACTCTGTGAGAGTGTCTGACAGGAATAGAGCGACAGATGAAGTTTATAGGAGTCCTGTAATGTAAGGCCAAGAAGTACTCAGGGTGTGGTCCAGAAATCATGTGAGGGCTATGACATCATGCATGCACTGAACTAATATTTGTTGGGCATATACTGAGTGCCAAACACTTGGATGACAGTGGACAAAGCAGATACTTGCTCCTAAAGAGTATGTAATACTGAAAGAGACATTAACCCAGCAATTAAAGGCATGGCGAGTATTATCCAAGGGAAGATGTAAGAAAAAAAATAGTAAGAGTATTTAACCTCATGTAGGGAGTCAAGGAAGACTTACCTGAGAGAGGAACATTTCAGCTCAGATTTGCAGGATGGAAGCAGACAAGGAGCAGAAGGTGTTAGCAGTGTTTCAGACAGAGGGAATTGCATGCATGAGTCCAAAGTCCAAAGAATGGAGAATCTGGAAGAATGGTATGATATATTAGGGTTAGATAAAACTGCTTCAAGGGACATAACGTCTAGTGCAACAGTAATTTAAACAATAAAGAAGCTTCTTATGTAAAAGTTCAGGTAGGCAGTCCAGGGTTGATAGAGCAGTTTCACACTTATCAGGAACCTGGCTCTGTCCCTCTTGTGCTCTCATTCTCTACAGGCACTTTGTTTTCCTTTTTAAAAAAAATTTTTTTTCTTTATTGATTTTAGAGAGAGAGGGGAAGGGAGAGAGAGAGAGAGAGAGTGAGAGAGAGAGAAACATCGATGAGAGAGAACATCAATTGGCTGTCTCCTGCATGCCCCCTACTGGGGATTTGGCCCACAACTTGGGCATGTGCCCTGACCAGGAATTGAACCGGTGATCTCTTGGTGCATGGGTTGATGCTCAACCAGTGAGCCACACCAACCAGGCAATAGGCACTTTCTTTTCTTTTTTTTTTAATCCT